GAAATTTAGGAAAAGCAGAGACCACTATGGGATGGCGAATATCTGGTTAGAGTTTTTAAACTCTGTTACTGTGCTATGGATAAAGAACTTTCTGGAATCTCTGGGAGCATGTGTTTTGTTTTTTTTCCTTCAGAGAACAGGATTGGATAAGGATCTTTTGCCCTAAATCTCAGCGATGTAGTGGTTTTATGTCTTAGGGAGGCCAATGGTCCTTTTAGCTCTCATTTTCCCTCGGCTCCCTTGGTCTCCAGAGGTTTCTATTTATGGCCCCAATTGAGAAGCCAATCATTTTAGAAAGTTCACGCGTAAAGAAGCTCTGTGGTGGGAAATAAAAAGTCAAGGGTGTCAGGAGGAAATATTGTCAGTAATGCTTTCTTTGTAAGCTTTTCTTACCATGTTGGACCCTACAGATTCCTTGACAAAACAAAAAATAATTGGGAGGACCGCGAAAAGTTTGAGAAGGTACCTGGAAAATACGATATGCTACAGATGGACTATGCCGCCAATACTCAGGTAAACAACTATATCCTTGGGGAGGGTGGGATGCTGGGGGGGGGCGCTCATTCCCCTTACCCAGGGTGAAGCCAAGCAGAATGGCTTAGATCAGGTCCTGGGCTGAAATGGACCAGAATACTGAGTCATCGCTCTTTCTTGCCTAAGAAAAGGTGACCAGCCCGTCAGGGCTAACTTGCACTGAGCTTTACAATCTTGAAGGGAGTGTAAGAACGAGGGAGGGTAAAAGGTGGCATTCTAGTCCTTACTGTTTCCTACAGTTCTTCCAAAATCTCAGGTCCTCTTTCCAGATGTTTAATATTGTGAATCGAGAAAGGAGCAAACAACACATCATTGCTGTCAAGTAAATTTTGACTCATGGCAACCCTGTGAGTGTCAAACTGCTCCAGATATCGAAAGAGGAATAGTAAGTTTTCAAAGTATGTTTAAAGTTGTCTTCGCTTCTGATTACATACCACAGCAAAAATAATAATAATAATAATAAAAGTGAATTTTCATTGAGATGCCACCAGATGATGATGAAAACAATCTTAAAAACTGTCACAAAAAATATGGAGAAATCCTAGCCTTTTTCAGTTGCGAAGATCTGAGTTCTAACAGCTGTGTATCTGAAGAGCTGTAGTATTTGGAGAGCATTTCGAGACAGTGTTCTGAGTTTTTAATTCATAGAAGGCAGAACTGGAACCAGAAAGTGGGAGAGCATGTGAGTGTCTCCAAGCATGTTAATAGTGTGTGGTCAGAGACCGGCTGGTGCTCATCTTAGAGAGCCAGTCCTTACAAGGAGCTTATAGTAGTAGATCATTTCAGATTTTGTGATTGTTATTTATTTATTTTTTTTTACATTAGGGTGAAGAGGAAACAAAAGAAGATAACTCTCTTAAACCTCGCTTGAAGCCAGAGTCTCGGCTAGATCTCCGGGTACAGGAGCTGATAAAGTTGATCTGTAATGTCCAGGCCATGGAAGAGACGATGATAGAGATGAAATACGATATCAAGAAAGCCCCACTTGGTAGGACTTCAGATTCTGCCCTGCATTCTTCTGTTTCCTGGCTCCTTTCAGGGGCTAGTCCATCGCCTGCGTGATTGTACTGAATTGAGGGAAAGGGCCTGGGGGAGAAAGGTTGTGGGAGAGGGAGCGGTTCTGTTTCCAAAGTCTTGTATTGGGCAGGGATGTAAGTGCACTTTCCAGAACAGGATCGTATTTGAAGTCTGATCTCTGGCTGGGCCCGCAGGAAAGCTGACAGTAGCACAAATCAAGGCCGGCTACCAGTCTCTGAAGAAGATTGAGGGTTGTATTCACACTGGCCAGCTGGGGCGAGCTCTCACTGAAGCATGCAATGAGTTCTATACCAGGATCCCACATGACTTTGGGTAAGACCTGTCAGTCACTTTGTACCACACCTTCCTAACTCCTAAGTCAACCAGCAGCAACTATACTCCTTAAATATTTTCATTCCTTAGGAAATTAGTATCTCGAGTAGAAAAAGAACCAAAGTAATTATAGAGATTCTGTTTAATCAGCTAGCAAATATGAGAGGCACTCTCGTGGCCTGATTACAACCATATTCCCTGACCACGTGGAAGTTACTGACTCTAGAGAGACCAATCTAGTCCATGATCGTCAAGCATATTAACTCATTGCCTTTTCCTCAAGGTCAACTGTGACCACCTTGACACCATTTCTGTGAACTCATCTGATGAGTCACACACACAGAATACACTTTATCTCGGTTGATTATCTATATGGATTTTTCAGTCTTTCTTTTAAACCTCCTGGCTTTTATGACTGGTCACAGGTCTACCTCTGCTTCTAGGCAGGACTACATCAAAACTTTTCCTCTTGATGACAATATGCCTTTTTACAAAAGGATTCCTTGGAAAAAAGAAAATGTATCCTCGTCCCAAATGTCAAAATCTGTTTGAGTTGTCTGATCTCACTTGGAGTATACACGTACTGTCAGCTCCTGTGTTTGGAAGTTAAAGTCTGTTTACAGACCTCTCTCTTACAAATGAAAAACCCCGGTTCTCACGGCTCGAATCTAGAGGACTTGTTTTCAGTCTGCTGTTTTTAGTCACGTGCCCTTTGGCCACACACACGAGAGCTCACGGGTTATTCCTTCGTCCTCAGACTCCGGACCCCTCCACTAATCCGAACAGAGAAAGAACTGTCGGAAAAAGTGCAGCTACTAGAGGTAAGAAGTGTGTGTGTGTGGGTGGGGGGGTGGTGGTGGTGGTGAGGTCCCTTGCCCTAGGCTCCTGCCACATTGACTCTGTATGCCGTCTTTGCAGGCTTTGGGCGACATTGAAATAGCCATTAAGCTAGTGAAAACAGAGCTGCAAAATCCAGAACACCCTTTGGACCAACACTATAGAAACCTACGCTGTGACTTGCGCCCTCTAGACCATGCAAGTTCTGAGTTCAAAGTAAGAAAAAATGATCCTTTTTGTCATACCTATTGGTATACCCTCTCCCACCCCACTGCTCGTACTGCTGGTGAAGAGCAAACTATGGACTAGGCCTCCGACTCCCATAAAATGTTCGTCTCGGAAACTCACAGGGGCAGTCCTACCCTGTCCTGTACGGTCGCTGTGAGACGAAGTTTATTTGTTTGTTATGGATAGGACACTTACTTGCTAGGAATCCGGGTCCTTCTGCTCGTTCTAAGTGCCTGGTGATACCATTTGGGAACAGAAAGCTCTGCCAAGTCGTGCCAGAAGCCCCGATGCTTCTCAGCTCAGCCTGGTCTCTCAGAATCCCCGGCAGCTACACCTTCCATGCTTTGCACAGGTGATTTCCCAGTACCTGCAGTCCACCCACGCGCCCACACACAGCGACTATACCATGACCTTGCTGGACGTTTTTGAAGTAGAGAAGGAGGGTGAGAAGGAAGCCTTCCGAGAGGAGCTCGACAACAGGTCTGCATCAGACTCTGGGTTTGCAAAGGCATCCTTGTCTTCCCTATTCTTTGGGCCGTGGCTGCAGTGCCACAGTGGAAATTATCAAGGAGGGTGACCCAGGCAGCTGTTGGCTCTCAGCCTCCTGGCCTTTGTTGCAGGAGAGCCACAAAGCACACAGATGGACCATAATGGCTTTTCCTTAGGATGCTGCTGTGGCATGGTTCCAGGCTGAGTAACTGGGTGGGAATCCTGAGTCGTGGGCTTCGAATTGCTCCACCAGAGGCTCCCATCACAGGCTATATGGTGAGTATAAGTTGAAACGTGGAAGGAGACCTATGAAAAGGGTATAGTTACCACTCCCCCCACCCCCCATTTTACTTCTCTTTAAATTAAAATTAAGATTAGATGATGCCCCTTTCCAAGAATTAAGCCATGTCACAGGTGCCTGCCATTTCGTAGCGCATTCGCTTTAATTCCCTAAGGATAACCTCCTGTGCCCAGAAAAAGAGCCACAGATGGTTTCGTCCCTCTGCAACAGAATTTGGAGGGCAGAGAGGACCTGGGGAGGGGCTGTTGAGGGAACAGCAACGGTCGGGCAAGCAGGAGCCTGCCTTCTAGCACACTGGCCTGGGCAGCAGATCGTGATATTTATTTGTATATTTCAGTTTGGAAAAGGAATCTACTTTGCTGACATGTCTTCCAAGAGTGCCAATTACTGCTTTGCCTCCCACCTAAAAGACACAGGACTGCTGCTCTTATCAGAGGTGAGGCAGGACCGCGTGTTTCTCCAAAGAAAGGGAACCAAGAGTGGAGAACCTGATAGGGCACCAAGGGCAAGGCCCATTGTATTGTGTTCCTCAACTGGAGTGGGGAAAGAAACTGCTGGTGGGCTTTTTCTGTTGGCTTTGGCACCATCCTTCACTTCTTGGGAGGACATGGACATTCAAAGAGCTTTTGCTTTACAGGTAGCTCTGGGTCAGTGTAACGAGCTACTGGGAGCCAATCCTGAGGCAGAAGGATTACTTAAAGGCAAACACAGCACCAAGGGGCTGGGCAAGATAGCACCCAGCCCGTCAGGCTTCATCACCTTGTAAGTACTTAGGGCCAGGAGCTCCCACTGACTCTGTTTGAACATATAGGCCTGTGGATCCAGCTTATGCACCAGGGTCTCCTGTTCACACACCTTCTCACTTTGACAGGAATGGGAGTACAGTGCCCTTGGGACCAGCTGGTGACACAGGAGTTCTGAATCCAGAGGGTTACACCCTCAACTACAATGAATTCATTGTCTATAACCCCAACCAGGTCCGTATGCGATACCTTCTGAAGGTTCGATTTAATTTTCTACAGCTCTGGTGAGTGTTTGTATTAAATAAACCAGAGAACATATGCTCGTCAATCAAGAAAATAAGCAGTGTTATACTTGGGGATTTTCTGATACTTTTGGTAATAAACCAGTACTACAAACCACTGGCCCTTTAGCGCTTTCCTTCTCCAAACACATACTTCTTCTGAAATTCCCATCTCCAGAGACAGAGTGACGTGAAAGCAAAACTCATTATCCCCCAAATCCCTACATCCTCAGAGCCTGATCGTAGAATCAGTGCTGTGATCTCCCTACGAGAGAGCCCTGTGGACCCAGACGACAATTCCTGTACTAGACATGGTTTGTCTCTTGAAAAACACAGAGACTCACTGCCATCGAATCAGTGCTGACTCGGTACACGTACCCCGTGAGTTTGCGAGACTGTGGGGTTAGAAAGCCCCATCTCTCCCTCGGAGCAGCTGTTGGTTTCAAGCTGTTGACCTGAGTTAGCAGCCCAGTATGCAACCACAACACCGCCAGGGCCCCCTGGGTTTGTCCATTACAAGTCCGTACATGCTTGGACATACAAGGCATTTTCTTCCTCAGCCCTTAGAATGAAAGGGTCTCAAGAAACTTCCCCTCCGTGGAGGGAGGGTGGGGTGGAAAGGGGAAACCGATTACAGGGATCTACATATAACCTCCTCCCTGGGGGATGGACAACAGAAAATTGGGTGAAAGAGAGATGTCGGACAGTGTAAGATATGACAAAATAATAATTTATAAATTATCAAGGGTTCATGAGGGAGGTGGGAGCGGGGAGGGAGCGTAAAAAGGCACCGATGCCAGGGGCTTAAGTGGAGAGCAAATGTTTTGAGAATGATGAGGGCAACGAATGTACAAATGTGCATTACATAATTTGCGTACGTATGGATTGTAATAAGAGTTGTATGAGGCCCTAATAAAACAATTTAAAAAAAAGAAAGAAACTTCCCCTCTAACAGAATACACTTGTAGGAAGATAAAAAGTTTCTAGAACTTTTGCTCAAGAGGATCCAACGTCTATGTTAAATCCATTGGTCCAATTATTCCCTTTCAAATCAAGTTTTAATCTTAGGGAAAGATACTTGGGTGAATGGCAGTTTCTATACTGAACTGATGATGCCCTATAGGGTTGAGGGCCAGAGACTAATTTTCTTCCAGTGCCCTGGCTTCTCGTGTCACTTCCGGGTGGTCCGTCTGGGAAGATGTGACTTTCGGTGAGAGGAGATGATTGGAGTGGTCCAGTGCTACCCAGCTTTTCTAAATGTCTCAGCGGGGGTATTGCTGACTCACACACCCTTTTCGTTAGTTGCACTTGGCCATGGAGATGCTCTTCACTCTCTATTGTAGTGCTGGCCACCATCACTGCTGTGCCCTCTCCTGGGAGGAATGGCGTCCAAGGCCATGGGGCAAACAAGGGAACAAGAATTTTAAAGCCTGCGATGAAACATACAATTTTCCTGTACTTCTTTAATGGCCTCCACTCACCCACCCTCACTATCATGATCCCGATTCTACCTTACAAATCCGGCTAGAGCAGAGGATGTACACTGGTACAGATAGGAATTGGAAACACAGGGAATCCAGGGAGGATGATCCCTTCAGGACCAGTGCTGAGAGTGGCGATACCAGGAGGGTGAAGGGAGGGTGGGGTGGAAAGGGAACTGATCACAATGATCTACATATATACCCCTCCCCTAAGGGATGGACAACAGAAAAGTGGGTGAAGGGAGATATCGGACAGTGTAAGACATGACAAAATAATAATTATTTATAAATTATCAAAGGTTAGTGGGGGAGGGGGGATGGGAAGGGAGGGGGGGAAATGAGCTGATACCAAGGGCTCAAGTAGAAAGAAAATGTTTTGAGAATGATAATGGCAACAAATGTGAGGAGAGTTGTACGAGCCCCCAATAAAATGATTTTTTTAAAAAAGAGACTTTTAAAGCCTGGTTTCAAAGACTACTTATTAAATCCCTGGTTTACTTTCTTGGGATTCTAGGAAGGATCAATGTTACGGAAGAAGCGTTAGACCATCCATAGTCTTTCTTGGCCCCAATCCACATAGAACACAGGGCGACTGCTCTTGAAATTTCCTGGCACTTTATTTGGTCATTTTCAACAAGAGCAGGTGTCTTCGGGCTTTGTGTCTCTAGCACACGAGGCATCGTTTAAGTTGCAGCATCACTCCCAGGACAGAAAGTACACATTGCCCTGTGCATCTCCCACAGCGAGCTGCAGGGTAGAATTAGGGCCCAGCCAAGGTTCCAGGCAGCTCACCGCTCCTTCACAGTGGAACAGGCCGAGCTAAGATGGGAACAGAAACAAGGAAGGTGAGATCTACAAACCCAGGCCCTCTATCCACTTGGCTCTGTCACAGTGATGCCTTTTATTTAGAAACAGACTAGTAGAGCATCCCTGCAAGAAGAAACCAAGCTGTTACTCTTGCCTTTTCTTATTCTCGTGTGACTCCCCCCTGCATCCCCCGCTTGCACACACTTACCAGCTGCATACTGGCTCTCTCCCACAGCTTCACATCTCTGTCCCTTGAAGCTGTCACCAGCAAGTTGGGCAGCACATGGAGGGCTGTGACAGAGCCCGAATGGATCTCCATGAAGAAAGGGAGAGAAGTATGGTGAGTGCTCCGTGGACAGTGCTCAGTTGAGAAAACACCAAAGTCAGCTAGGTCGGCCCCTTCCTCCAAACTCACCTTTCTACGCTGACGTGTCCTTAAACATGGGTTTCTTGGCCAGGAGTCCAAGCTGCCACTGGCCTCCGAGGATGCAGACGAGTCTGTCCCTTGCTTCTGGGTGTGGGGTTCTTCCCAGATGTTACCCGAGGTCCACTCTCCTTCAGGGCTGCATTTGGCCATGCTCCACAGCATCCCTTCCGAGCTGGCACACAGAAACGAGGACTCTGCCGGAAGGATGGGGTCAAGACAGGCCCTGGGTCTAAGCGTCCCCACCATTCTCCCAGAGCCATTCCCGGGCTCCCTGGTCTTCCCATCACCACTCACCAGATTCGGGTTTCGCCTGAGTCAACTGTATTGGGGCTCCGCTAGGGTTTTCGAAGTCTAGATCGAAGTCCAGGCTCTCTCCAAACTTTCCTGATTCCTTTTGTTTCTGTGAGAGGATAGATGCTTTTTAAAACTCTTTTTAAAAATCATTTTATTAGGAGCTCATACAACTCTTATCACAATCCATACACACATCCATTGTGTCAAGCACATTTGTACATATGTTGCCATCATCCTCAAAACATTTGCTTTCTACTTGAGTCCTTGGTATCGCTCCTCGTTTTTTTTTTTTCCCTCCCTCCCCGCTCCCCCCTCCCCCATGAACCCTTGATAATTTATAAATTATTATTATATTGTCATATCTTACACCATCCGATGTCTCCCTTCACCCACTCTTCCACTGCCCGTCCCCCAGGGAGGAGGTTATATGTAGACCCTGTAATCTGTTCCCTCTTTCTCCCTCACCTTTCCTCCACCCTCCCGATATCACCACTCTTAGCACTGATCCTGAAGGGTTCATCTGTCCTGGATTCCCTGTAGTATTTTTTTAAAATTATTTTATTGAGGGCTCGTACAATTCTTATCACAGTTCATACATACATCCATTGAGTCAAGCACATATGTACACCTGTTGCCCTCATCAATCTCAAAACATCTGCCCTCTATTTTAGCCCTCAATAGCGTTTGCTCATTTTCCCCCTCCCTCCCCCCTCCCCCCTCCCCCTCCCTAGGATAGATGCTTTTGTTTAACTTACTCAGTAGCACTGAGTCAGTCCTACCCAGAAAAAGTACCAGTTTTCTGCCTCAGCTGGTCAGGATTTTTTTTTTCTTTCTTTTCCCCCAGTTAACATAGATGCAGCAAGTACACAGATACTCGGTGTACATCTCAATGAGCCAGTGTCCACATGAAACCCATGCGACTACCTCTCAGATAAGAGGAACGCTTCCATCATTCTAGAAGTTCTCATGCCTTCCCACTGCTTCTCCCAAAGCTAGGGGCTGTTCTGACTCCTGTCACTATTTATTAATTTATCCATTTCTAAATTTCATTTAAGTGGCATCATGGGATACATTCTCTTTTTAGCTGGTTTCTTTCATGCAACATAATGTCTATAAGCTCTGTCTAGAGCAGCGGTTCTGAACCTGTGAGTTGCAACCCCTTTGGGGGTCAAACGACCTTCCCAGGGGTCGTTTAATTCATAACAGTACCAAGATGACAGTTATGAAGTAACAATGAAAATAATTTTAGGGTTGGGGGTCACCACAACATGAGGAACTGCATTAAAGGTTCGCGGCATTAGGAAGGTTGGGAACCACTGGTCTAGAATGTTCTGTTCATCAGTCTTCAATGTCATGTCCTTTTCTGTTTTCCTTTTGCCATTTAGTATCCCCTTGTACAAGCAGACCACAAATTATTTCTGACTCTCCTGCTTACAGGCATCGAGCTGCTGGGAACACCCTTGTTCCTTCTATGCGGAGTGCATATGGACTTGTTCCTTTGGGCATGTATCCAAGTTTGTGCTTGCTGAGTAAAGACGAGTTAGTGACGGTAGGTCAGGAGTGGATAGCCTTTTTAGGGAAAAAGAACAGCTTGCCTCTTCCAAGTGACTTTGAGACTATTCTGACCACACTTCATAGGGTTCTCAATGGCTGGTATTTTTTAAGTAGGTGGCTCCTGAGAACCGATCTTTGGCATGATTAGCCAGCTCTGGCCACACCCAGATCAACGAATGTGTATCTGTAGGGTAAAGGCCATGTATAAGGGCAGGGACAAGGTTCAGCCCTTCCCCTCCAGTTGCTAATATTCATGGTGCCAAATAAAGGCAGACATGAAACAGTTAGTAGCACAATCAAGACAATTCCTAGGTTATGGGTTCATGGTAGAATCCCTTTTTGTACCAGTGAAATCTTCCAGGGAACCTGGATATATAAAGCCCTTAAGTAGCACATGTCCAGTTGAAGAAGGAGAAGGACGTTTGGAGCCAACTGGCTTCTCAGTGTCCTCCATGATGGACCCCAAGGCTTAAAGACATTGGTCCCAGACAAGTGTTTGCTTTAACATGCACCCAAACAGGACTTACCAAGAAAGAAAACATGTCAGGGGCCATCGATTGCAGGACAAACACACCATACTCCTTGTGGGTGGATATCATTGTAAGACCATTTGTGGAATAGCTGCTCCTAGTTCATAAGAAAGAGAAAGGCTAAGTTCAGGAACATCTCTCTGTAGACCCAACAACCTCTAGCCAAGTTTTTCTCTTTTTCTAACTTGGGGGGAAGCAGCATTTTGGATCTTACCAGATTTCAGAGGGATCATCCCCTGGCATCATGAGTAGCAATTCCAAATTTGCCTTGGCCAGGATGAGAGAGTGACCATCAGGGGCTAGGCCCATCCCTGACAGGACCCCCATGTTCTCCTGCAGAACGCGGTTCAGGCGAAGGCTATAGCTCGTAGCAAGTGAAAGAACAGACAAAGAGCCTACTTTAGCCCACTTCTCTCAGACACGGCAGGTCTCCATGAAGCCCCCAGGCATGAAACAATGAGTGTGCGACCTTCCATACAGACCCTGGTACCCGGTCTTTCTCCCAGCAGCATTCATCATCACCATCTCTTTAGGTGCTCCACCCAGGGACCCCTAACATTCCTGACATCTCCTTCCCTCCCTTCGATGATCATTGAGCCCCACGGACTCAACACACAAGGCATGCCTGGATCTGTTATCTCTTCTCATCCCCACCGTCTGTCTTTCCTGGACTCCAGCAACAACTGGAAAAGCAGTCTTCCTACCATTAATATCTCTTTTCCTACTAACTACATATCCCCCTGACTGTCACCATTTGCATCCTAAACTCAGACCATTCTGCTCAAACACCTGTCAGAATAAAACCCAAAGTTCTTGGCATTGTGTCCTCTAATGCCTGGCTCCAGGTTATCTTCCCAAGTACTTTCAGCCCAAGTACTTGGCTGCCCCTAGAACACACCACACACCTCCATGCCTCCACCCCGTTTGTAGCGGCCACTCCCTCTCCCTTCCTCAAGCATTCTTTCTCACCCTGACTGCCCTGGAAAACTCCTCATTCTTGAAGCCTAACTTCCAGGGTCACCTCTTTCCTACACTTTCTCCAAGTCTGAAGCTCCAGGAACTTGGTATGTGCCTTCCCCATAGCATGAATTATTCTCAGTGGTGTTGGTAGTTAACTTGTATGCTGAGGTGACCAGATGTCCCGCTTTGGGTGGGACAGTCCCGCTTTTGAACAATTTGTCCCGCATCCCGCGCGTTTTTTCAAAAAGTCCCGATTTCTGGAAAGAATGCTCGACAAGCTAGGGAACGGCGGGAGAACGGGAAGACCAAATTTTTAATCAAGACACCACCACCCCCACTCTGGGTCAATGGTGTCCCGCTTTACCAATGTTAAAATCTGGTCACCTCCCTCTACTATGAGCTTCCTCAGTTCAGGAAACAGTCTCATTTTTCTCTGGTTCATGCTGCCTGGCCCTGCGCTGACCATAAAGTAGAAACTTGATAACTTCTCCTGTAACTGTGGGGAGCAGAGGACAGTTCCCCAGGAAATGTGTTTCTCCTTTCAAGAACAAGTATCCTATGCCCTGGCTCAGAAGCCGAGAGGGTCTGTGGTGTGAGTAACACCCTGGGTATAAGGAGATCGTTATCCCCACGGTATTTGCCCAGCTGCCTCCATTCACCTGAAGCTTCTAGGTGTTGAGCCTGTCTGCAGTTCCACTTGCCACTCGCTGAGTTTCTCATCAGCACTCAGAACGAAGAAGGTGTGTGCCGAGTACCAGATCAGGGCACTGACACGGCCCGGAGCCTGGTGTACACAACATGTTAGATCTAGTATTCCAGAGGAGCCGGGGCTTGAGCCCCTTTCTCCTCCCAGACATCTACATGCAACTTCCAGCTTTGACCTGGGGCAGAACTCAGAGCAAAGAACGGAGGCTGCCCCACTCACCTGTGCAGTGGCCACAGCCTTTGCTGCCTGCCACAGGGTCAGTTCCCCGGCTTCATTCCCAGACACTGCCATAAGGCCATCTGGGGCCCAGGCCACAGCAGTGATGGCTACAGGACTCTTACGTCTGTGCGTGTCATCTGGAGAGGAGAGAAGGTACTTTGTTAGAAGCCGGGCCAGTGCTGGGGCCCAAGAGGAGATATCAGGCCATCTCTCTCTTTACCTTACCTCCCTCCATGCTTCACTCACCTGCTTCCTCAGGTACCTGCCAGAGCCGCACAGAGCCATCCTCTGAGGCCGTCAGCAGGAGGCCTGAAGCATCGGAGACAGCAGCTGCACTGACTGGACCACTGTGTCCCAGGAGGGTGTGTGTCTGAGACACCTAGGAGGAAGGGAAAGTAACCCTGGTGGGGTGTAGTGGTTATGCAGTGCTCAGGTTGGGCTGCTACCCTCAAGGTCAGTAGTTCAGAACCACTAGCCGCTCCTTAGGAGAAACATGAGTCTTTCTTACTCTCCTAAAGAGTTAGTCTCCGAAACCCACAGGGGCAGTTCTACCCCATCCTGTAGGGTCGCCGTGAGTCGGCATCAACTGGGTGGCAGTGAGTTTCTTTCTTTCTTTTTGAGAGGGAAGGGATGGACATGGGCAGCAGGGGGTTTGACACATGAAAACCTGCCCCCGCGGGCGTACTACCCCATCCCTCCCCCACCCACCACCCACCAGTCCTTGCAGGGAGCTCACCAAGAGAGGATGCCACAACCTGGTGGTTCCATCCAGTCCAACAGTCACCACCAGAAGCTCTGACCCGGGCTGGCCATCTGCGAAGACATGGCAGTGGAGTGAAGAGGAAAGACGTAGGGAGGAGAAGGGGAGAGGTGAGGGGTGAGGGGCTAGGAGGGACGGTGGCCGGTGGGCGTTCCATCACCTGCACGTGGCTCCTGGGCAGCTGCACACTGGCTGATGGGTCCTGAGTGTGCGGGGATGCTTGTCAGCTCCACGCCCTGATGGTCCCACACTTTCAGGGTCCCATCCCGGCCCACAGACACCACATGTTCCTCCTGCACCCAGAACACAACATCAGACCAAGGGCACTCGGAGCAGGACGGCTCCCATGACAGAAGTGCCCAGGACTGGGCACTGGGGCTTAGCCCAAACAGCCCACAGCCATCAAGTCCAGCCCGCCCGCCCGCCCGTGTGTTACTCGGTTGGCCTGAGCTCCAGCCTGGTCTTTACAGAAAGACGGCAAAGCTCTCTTCTGACTGGGACTTAGACCATGTCAATGGGGGAGGTCCTCGGCGGTGGGCTTGGAGGGCTCAGGTGGGCAAGTCTGCCAAGAGGGTCGTGATCCCAAGATGCCGTGTCTTCACGTTCCCTGTGCTTCCTGCACACCAACCCTCCGCCTCAATACCCCAATCCTGCCCCCAGAGTCCCAAGCATCCGGGTCTTGATATTTCTTCCAACTTTAGAATTAGACACGCAATGCATCAAGTACCCCTCGGGCCCGGACCCACCCAGAGAGCCCCGTGAACTACCCCCTGTCCTCTCACCATGGCTGCCACTGCGCTCACGGCATGCTGATGGCCCAGGAACTGGCCAAGCCGTTGTCCTGACCCAGGGTCCCACAGCCCCACAGAGCCATCATTGGAGCAGGAGACCTGCAGCGTCAGAGGGGAGAGGCGTGGGGTTCTCAGCATCCCACCCCCCAGAAGTTTTTGTAGGTTGACCAAGTGATTTCGAGCAGGGGCTCTCCTGGGTTCCAATTCCAGTGCCGCCCTTCATTCTGTGGTCTAGGACAAGTGCCCCTCTGAGCTGTGGTTTCTCGTCTCTTCAGCAAGGAGGTGGACAGAGCACCTGTCTGAGAGGGGCGGTATGGGGCTGAGCATGCCCAGACACAGGACCGCGTGTGCGCACTGCCTGGCCCAGAGGGAGCACACAGTAAACAGTGGCTATTGTCCTTAACGTAGTGTCAGTTGGCATGCCCTGAGAAGGGTGGAAAGGCTGTCCATGCCCAGGCAAGATCTGGCTCCCTAGAAGCTAGAGCGACAGACTGTGACCAAGTCGATGCACCCGGTCTATAAGCAAGACCAGGCCCTCCTCCATCAGCCCTTCCAAGAGCAACATGAGGCTTCTACCTGGGTAGAGGATAGGAAACTCGCTTTTCGCCTGAGCAATCACAGCAGTATCCTCGGGGAGACAGTGCTGTGTTCTTGCTAAGAACACGGGCTTGCTTAGCAGAACCTTTCCTGGCTCCACGGCCTCACGTACAAGGCCTTGGACCTGCGCTCTCACCTCTCTGACCTCAGTTTCTCTGTCCGTCCAATGGAGATCGTGGTAGCGTGTACTCTACAGGGTTGGTAAGTCAAATTGTTACCTGCCAAGAGCCAAGCGCAATGCCTGACACCTAGTAGGTGCTCTGTAAATGTTAGCTGTGGATGTCAGGGAAAGGTTGAGTGGATGCAGGAGATGATGGGGAATGCTTTTATTGCCTCACCCCGCCCCCCAACTCTTCTGAGCTTTGCCCTCCCTCCACCCACCCCCCCTTCACTCACCAGCTTGTTGTCTTTGGTCCAGGCACAGCCAGTGACCCAATCACGGTGGCAGGCAGAGAAGGACCGAGTCAGAATGGGTGCCCCGGGGGCCCTCACGTCCCAGCATAGGAGGTTCTGGATGGGTCAAAGGAGAGGCAGTAATTGGGGCCATAGAGGGACAGGGGATATCAGGGCTTTTTCAGAAAGAAAGTGTCATGGAACTCAGCGGGTGCAAGAAAAGGGGGTGGACAGATCAGGCACAGAAGGCATGGACTGGCAGGGAGCAGCCAGGAATTGGGGTGTTAAGGAGCCCAGGAAGAGGAAGCAGAGAGGCTGTGCCGGTGGAGAAGACAAAGCCAGGGGAGGAAGAGGGGCCAGCAGAGGTGTGGCTCACCCGATCTCTGCCTCCAGTGGCCAGGCTGCCTCCATCTGTGCTGAAGCTACAGCAGGTTACAGGACCCTCGTGTCCTCGGAGTTCAGTGGCACCAGGAAATCCACCTGCCTTTGGTGACTGGGTCAGGGGTTCCCTGGGCCATAGCCGCACGGTGAAATCCTCTGCATTGAACACGGGGAGAGAAGAAAGCGCCCTGAGAGAGGAAACAAGATGGGCCCCGGAGGCCAGAGACAAAAGAAGTCCTCTACTCAAGTCCTCCTCAACACAAGAACACTCTGTCCTATTAACCCGGCATTGCATGGTGCTCACCTTCCTGACACGATTGCTAAAGGCAAAATGTGTGCATAAGCAAATGTAGTGAAGAAAGCTGACTGATGGTGCCTGGCTATCAAAAGATATAGCATCTGGGGTCTTAAAGGCTTGAAGGGAAACAAGCAGCCATCTAGCACAGAAGCAACAAGCCCACCAGCCTGTGTGATCAAAGTGCTGATAGGATCAAGTATCAGGTATAAAAGACCCAGAACAAAAAATCATATCATTGTGAATGGGGGGGAGTGCGGAGTGGAGACTCAAAGCCCATCTGTAGACAACTGGACATCCCCTTACAGAAGAGTGGTGGGGAGGAGACGAGCCAGTCAGGGTGCAGTATAGCACTGGAGAAACATACAACTTTCCTCCAGTTCTTTAATGTTTCCTCTCCCCCACTATCATGACCTCAATTCTACCTTACAAATCTGGTTAGACCATAGCATGTACACGTGCACAGTTAAGATCTGGAAACACAGGGCATCCAGGACAGATAAAGCCCTCAGGACCAATAATGAGAGTAGTCATACCAGGAGGATAAGTAGAAGATGGGGGGAGAAAGGGGGAACCAATCACAAGGATCTACCTATAACCTCCTCCCAGGGGACGGACAACAAAAATGGGTGAAGGGAGACAGGGGTCAGTATAAGACATGAAAAAAAAAATTAATAAATTATCAAGGGTTCATGAGGGAGGGAGGGTGGGGCAGGGAGGGGGAAAAGATGAGAAGCTGATACCAAGGGCTCAAGTAGAAAGAAAATGTTTTGAAAATGATGATGGCAACAGATGTACAAACATGCTTGACACACTAGATGATGTATGAATTAAGATAAGAGTTGTATGAGCCCCTAATCAAATGATTTAAAAAGAAAAGAAATAAAGACTACAATGTGAACAGATAAAAAGGCAAAAGTCCTTAGGGCGAAGGGCGTTATCTTAGGGCACCACTCCAAGACAGGGACAGCTGAGTGCAGCAAGTCTGTGGAAAGGCCAGGCCCTGGGCAAGGGTCAGGAGTCACGTCACAGGTGCACCCCAGACTCCCTCCTTGTCTCTCTGACCCCTCCTGCTCTGCTGACAGCAGCTGTTCCAGACCTCGCCTCTTCTCCAGGGCCTGTGTCCCTCTGCCTCACTGGCAGTGATGGCCACGCCTGCCCAGAGAGGACTCAGGCCACCCTGCACTTTCACCTCAACGTCTCTCTCTCCTCCTAAGGGACACCGGACCTTTTACACAGCAACGCCCTCTTCCTGGGCAGGAACTCAGAGGGTTATTGGGATTCACAAAGCCGTCCCAAGGGGAGCAGAGTGTCCATGGATCATTCCAGAGAGAGGCATTTAAAAACAGCTGGTACAAACTCTGTTTAAACAGGTCTCTGCAATTGGTGCATGACTCCGGGAACGTGTCTCCATCATACATTTGTCTTAAAGGTGTCTTAAAAAACTGTGGTTTCCCCGGGGATCTGCTGTGCCACTTACATTCCAGGCAGGCAGGCCATCTCAGAAGGTCACAGTGATTGTTTTGGGGGGGATCCCAAAAGGGATCATCTTGATAGATTTTTCTCAAAGGACATAGTACAGTTCACGGAGGCTTGTTATGAAGAAGTTTTAAGAACAGGAAGAGCGGTGTTGGTAAGGGAAAAGCCAGGAGAGTCGCACTGCTGGATTCTTTTTCCCTCCCAATGATGTCCTTGCTCCCGCTTCGGGCTGTCCTGGAGAACTTCCTTGGGAAACCTTACTCCACTCACCCCACAGCTCCGATCTTGCCTCTTTAGACGTCTTTTTGACCCATCCCACCCTGAACCCAAAGAACATTTCAAAAGGGACATAATATGCACCCTTTGAAGATACCCAGACTGCTGTTTTGACTTGTTGTAAATGGAAGAGCCCAGAAGTCTCCAGGGGAACTATCAAAGAGCTAGAAACAGTGCTCTCAGAAGTGCAGGAGATGTCAAGAAACAAAGAGTTGCACATTCTGATGTTTGTATTTCATAAATCTCTATGATTCTGCAGCTTGAAAAAAACCTTAATTGGCATATCATTTATGCATGAGTGTGTAGCTTTTAGACTTACTTTTCTGTGTGTGTGTGTGTGTGTGTGTGTGTGTGTGTGTGTGTGTGTGAAGGAACTCTTTGAAGCCCCCATCATCACATATTCATGCGCACACAGATGCAAGGAGCCCTCGCAGCGTAGTGGCTAAACATCAGGCTGCTAATCCAAAGGTTGAACCTACCAGTTATCCTGGGGGAGTTAAAGATTCTATGGGGCAGTTCAACATTGTCCCCTACAGACACTAGGAGTCAGAAGCGATCGATGGGTTTGATTTTGGTTTGATAGACATACACATATACATTCACATGCACATGCAATTAGAAGGGATTGGCATATTTATAAGGAACAATGCTTCGGTGACCCTAACCCTTGCCTAGCAGTACCTGAGACAGATGCCAAGAGGTCTTGGGAAGTAGCCAGGCCCAGCACAGGCTTCTGGTGTACGGACAGGAGCCAGAGCAGCTGGAGGGAGCTGTTCCTGAGAGCCCATCCCTGCAGGGACCCGTCTTCAGCGCCACTCACCAGAACCTCATGGCCGAGCCAGGCCAGCGCAGACACCGCCACGCGGAGTGCTTGACACTGGACCTGCTGGGAGCCTAGAGAAGCAAAGAAAGCAAGAGAGCAGAACACTTGGAAAGGGGGGCAGCGATCGGGGGGTCGGGGGGCAGGTGAGTGTCCTCTTCCCAAATGCCCAAACATCCCCTCCCTCTCCACTTCTGTACCTGAAGCAATTCTGTAGATCTTAATGCCATCAGCTCGGTACCCAACAGCCACCCGATTGCCATCTGGGCTGAGAGCCACAGCCAGGGCAGGAGAGAGAGAAGGGGAGCCCAGGCACCCACGGGGCCTGCCCAGAGACCCTGACCACACCTGGACCTAGGGGGGGGGCAAGAGAAAGACTTGAAGAGATCCCTCCTCCTTCACCACTTAATTCTTCACCCTGAGTTTCCCACCCAGATAAAGACCTCCTCCTGAGAGCTGCCGGGGGTACACATGCATGCACGCGTGTGCACACACACACACACACCACACCCCCTGCCCTCCCTGTAACTCAAAGTCTGCCTTCCTCCTGAGTCTCAGCAAAGGCAGCCCCACACCCAACAGTCCCTCGGCCTGGGTGATTCCTACCTCATAGCTCTCTAGGCCCACTAGTGCCTCACCTTGCCATCCTCTCCGGCCGTCACCAACTGGCTCCCAGCACGCAGGAAAAGAGTGCCAGCAACAGTGCCTTGGTGGGCAGGGAAGGCAGCCAGTCGAGCCCCCTCTTGCCAGGCCCACAGCTCCACCATCCTATCCAGCCGGCCTACAGCCACAACCTGCCCGGACACGTTGAAGGCCAGGGTACGGACAGAGGCTCCCGGGGCCCCTAGTTCCTACACAGGGAGTTAAAAATGGAAAATCAGGACCTGCTCTTAAACAAGCCTCCAGTGATACAGACGACCGATGTCTATCAACCCCTAACGCCCATCCTCCCGGGCTTCCTCCCCCAGGGGACACAGGGTTTCTTACCTTGGTGACTTTGAGCCCATCTGCTTTGAAAAACCTGCAGCTGCCAGCCCAGCTGCCTGTGGCAATCACGTGCCCATCTGGGTGGAAGGCAATGCAGTTGAGGGGCTTAGGGCAGGTGTGCTGGGAGGCCAGCTGCCCTCGGACTGTGTCCCACAGCTGGAGAAGATGGAAGAGGAGTCGGGATGCTGCACACAGACCTCTGAGCACTGGGGCCCAGCACTCCAAGGCTCATCTTGTCTAGTCCCCTGCCCTCAGAAGGGAAAGCTTCCTACAGACAAACCATCAGCAGCCTCTGCCGCCCAGACAGAGGCCCCTCGGGGGCGGACCCACAGTGTAGAGCCCTGGAGCCCCTCACATTACCTTGAGGCACCCTCCCAAGCACACCGTGGCGAACAGCCGGCGGTCTGGACTCAGGCAGCAGCCCGTGATTTGGTGCTGGTGAGCCTTGGTCTGGAGCACCCTGTCCCAGGAAGTTCAAGTCAGGCCCTGGGGGTCCTCTGGCCACAGGCAACCCTCTGTATTTCCCTCCCCTGAGCTTCTTAGAAGACACGAGGTCCTCTGCGAGTCCCGCAGGCGGGGACCCCTTACCGACACCCGTGCTGCAGGTCCCAGAGCTCCAGGAGCCCGTCAAAGGCAGTGAGAAAGATGGAGGTGTCTGAGAGGAACAGGCAGGACGAGATCCCATCACAGCCACTCACCACCGCCTTCTCCTCCTGCGAGGGTGGGGAAGCTCAGCTCAGGCCACCGCCTCACTCTAAGCCCCAACCAAAATGGTGCCAAGACCGGGTTTGGGGCGGATTTGTGCCCTTGCCTAGCTACAGCCCAGGCCACGTTCAAGTTCAAATTGGGGCCATTCCTCCCAGACCCCAGGGCCCCAACGTCTTTCACAAGTCAGAGGGAGATTCTGGCGATGTGCCTCAGGAAAACCCAGCCACGGGAAAACCGTATGGAGCTCAGTTGTACTCTGACACGCACAGCACACATCCCAGGAGCCGGCACCTACTGCCCGGCAGCCGGCTTGGGTCTGCTGTGTGCAGACATATATGTTGGGGTGATATGCATGGGAAGAGGAGCAGAGTGACACTGTGGGCCCCCTCTTCACCCTAACCAAATGCACACTGCTGAAATCACTCCCAGCAATTTACAGCAAGCATCCTCCCCTCGGTGCCTCTGCTCAGGCTCCTCATTCAACCCAGGATACCCACCCTTCTCCATCCACTAACCTCCCCAACTCTGCAGCTCACTCTCCTGCAGCAGGCTCCTAGGTTTTAACCTCCTATGTCTTATCTATCAACAAAACTGACCACTGGGTGAGCAACTACAATGTCCCAGGCCCTGTGAACGAACGTGTGCAGCGAATGTTTGCTGCGATCGATTTTTTTTTGGAATGAGCTCTCTTGATCACACATGAGGGGACTGGATTGAGTTGCCGGATTGAGAGCAGATGGGTTTGGCTCGTCTAGGACTTCAGGGCAGGGAACTCCACCTGCCTTGAGGGCCCTACCTGCCAGGAGTTCAGGTCCAACAGGTAAACAGTCCCATTGGCAGTACCCACAGCTGCTCTTCGCCCACTGGGGGAGAAGGCCACGGCTGTAGGGGACGAGGAAAGCGGCAGAGACAGCCCAGGGCTGGGGGGAGAGCGGAAATGAGGAGAAGGAGGTGAATGAATGTACACCCCCGTGGCCACCTTTCCCTGTGCCAATTCCCGCCCACCTCCCACCCATCCCCCATCTCCATGGTGATTCCAGTCTGCCTTTCAGTCTCCAGGTTCAGACGGGGCTGCAGCCTGTCTCTTGATGGAGTTTCCAGGGTCCAGGGTTGAGCATCTTACCTCTGCCGGCCGCCCATGGTCTGAGGCTTATTAAGCCACCGCAATGCCTGGGGGAGCTGCCACCGCTGGGAGAGCTGTGGGGCTTGCCCACAGACAGGCGAGTCGGGAGGCTGGTTGGCCGCCTGCTGGTATAGGAGGAGTGGGTACTGGCTGAGGACCGGGGCCTGCTGCCTCAGGAAGGCACGAAACACACTAACATCAGCATCAGGGAGCTCCTGCTCTCCTTTGGGGGCAGACGAAACTGTAAAAGAAGTAGCATGTGCCACTGGGGAGCCACCCTAGGAACCAGGAACACCTGTTAAAGGGACAAAGCTTCGGGCCCCACGCCAGACCTAAAAACACCCAAATCAGGTTCTCTGGAGCCAACTAAGACTCATAGCGCCCCCGTCTGTGATGTGATAGAGCAGAGGTGCCCTGTCAGGTTTTCAAGAATGAGACCACCAGGCCTTTCTTCCGAGGGACCTGCACAGTGGACTTGACCGCCACCCTTGGGTTAGCAGGTGGCCGTTTTGCCCTTTCCAGGGGTTCCCACTTCAGACCTAGGAAATCCGGGGGCCCAGGGATCCGCAATTTGGACAAATTTCCCAGCTTGTGGCATGACCTTTTATGCCCATTAGATCCAGCTGAAGACACAATGGTCTAAGCAATTTAGGCCACAGACCTCCTGAGAACCACTTGCATATTCTCCTCTGGGCTTGTTCAACCTGGAAAGAAAATCTGACTGCTCTTCCCATTGCCCCTCCTGTGGTGCAGCCCCTCCCCTCCCCTCTCTCAGAAAGGAAACCACCCACCGCCTGGTGACTCATCTCACCATAGAGGGCATGCGCCTCCAGGAGCCGGGAGACCAGACCCAGCTCCAGGTGTGCGGCCACCACGTGGAGGTTGCTGAGGAACTTTGCAAGAAGGCCACGGTTCCCGCTCTGGAGCTGGGAGGAGTCGGATTGGACCGATTAGGGATGGAAAGACAGGGAGGTGACAGGGAGTCTTCGACCCTGCCGGTGCAGCTGGACTGAGCCCCGGGAGCTGGGACGAAGGGTCTGAAGAAGGGAGTTGGTGACGGCAGGAGTGATGGTGATGGTAGGGTGACAGTTAAAGCAGAGGCCGAGGAAAGGGGTCCGAGGTGTGGCGACTCACCAGGTGGTGAGGCAGGTCTCCCAGAGCCTCAGGAGGGCAACTTCGGAAGGTGCCTGAGGCATCGTGGTCACAGGCCTTCCAGAGCTGAGCTGCAGGGGAGTCAGGGGATGCTGAGATGGGCTGAGGTCTGCAGCAAATCTGGGACCACACCCCTCAAGCTACAGCCAGAGCCCACCCCTGACACACACACCCCCACACCAACTGGGGAAGCAGGTGAGGGAGGGGAGGTGTGGTGTTGAACACCATGGGCTTCCTGCCCCCCAGGCCTGGCCCCTCACTCAGGGCTGTGATTACCTGCAATGAGGAGGTGAGCTGTGCTCCCCAGCCCCACCCTCTTCCGGTAGCGACGTTGCGCTGCTGTTCTCAGGGGCCCGTCGGGGAGGCAGAGCTGGGCGCCTGAACGCTCCAGGGGACCCTCCCCTAGTAAGCTGTCATCATGAGAGGGAGGGGGAGAAAGGAGGAGAGGGCGAGAGGAGGCCTGTCGGACCACAGCCAGGCACAGGTGGGGCCCTCGTTCACACCCTAAGTGTTGGTCATTTGAGTGGTGGCTCTCTCTGGGCCTGGGAGGCAGGTGTCAGGGCTAGACCGAGGGACATGGGGGAAGAAGAAGGTATCACCCAGGGCCCTGGCTCACCAATGGGAAGACACACTGAGGTCAGGAGGGAACTCAGCTGGAGGCACCCGTACCTTCGCAGACTCTGGACGAGGTAGGCAAACGGGCCCATGGGGTAGGGGTTCCCACTGTTGCTGGTAGCCATTGCTTCTTCCCAGGTCATGCCCTCCTTGGGCAGTGTCCTCCATGCACTCAGCACGCCATGCAGCTGGTCCACAGTCAGACCTGAAAAGCCAAGCTCCCAGCATCCCCATCGGCCATGACACCTAAACTTCTGGGTATCATTGACTGAGGTCCCAGGGGGTGGGGGGTGGGGGGTTTGTCACCCAACCTCCAAGCCCTCAGGCCCCAAGCCACCCCCAGCACTGACCACTGCGTGTGACCTCTAGGGCGGCCAAGGCTCGAGGAAGGACTTCAGGGCCATGCTCTTGCTCCAGGGTGTTCAGGATGTGCTGCAGCAGCAGGGGGACAGTGGCGGGCAGTGTCCGGAGTCTCTCAGACACCTGAGAGAGAGAGAAGATGGGCCTTAGTGGGGCATGGGAGTGGGGGTGGGACAGCTGTGGCTAAAGGTTTAGTTATAGGGGAGGAAAGGGGACTGGATGAGAAATGGATGGTAGAGAAGGGTGTGCAAGAAAAGGGAAACATGTGGCAGAGAAATGGGGGTGGGGCGAGGTCAGGATTGGGAACGGATGACACCAGATGGCAAAGAGCAAGGGTGGGGACCATGAGAGGTGATGGGATGGGGTAAGGAGAATAAGCTGAATGGAGGATGAGCAATGGGGCTAGGATGGGAGAACCGTGCTGGAGGACGGGCAGTGGGGTTAGGATTGGAGGAGGAGTATGGAGAATGGGCAGTGGGGTTAGGATGGGAGGAGGAGTATGGATGTGGACAGTGGGGTTAGGATGGGAGGACAAGGCTGGAGAATGGGCAGTGGGGTTAGGATGGGAGAAAGAGGCGCATGGCCTCCCACCCTAACTGACCTGCTCATAGAGTGTGAAGAGCCTCAGGTGATCGGTGACCAAGCGCAGGTAGAGTGGCAGGGCTGACCCACGTTTCACCAGCAGTAGGCGCATCTGACGAGACTCAGAGAGTCAGTGTGGGGACCAGGGAGACACAGCACTGCTCACACCAGGCCCACTGCCAGGTAGCTCCTCCCATCAGAGTCTCCCCCAAAGACAGGCCCACGGCGTGAGTCACCTCAGGACCCAGGCTCCCTGTCCCCACAGAGCTCTGCACAGCCAGCCTTCTGCAAAATCTCCCACAGCTCAGCCTGCCCCATCACGTCAACACAGCTGTATTGGCCTCCCCTCACCGGGGCAGAGGCTGCAGATGTCAGACACCAGAGAGAAATAGGGGTGTGGGGGAATCTATGAATGTGTGAAATGAAATCAATCCAAACCAGTTGCTATCAAATTTACTATGACGCATGGCGATCCCATGTGTGCCCTGGAAGACTAGACCCTCCATAATGTGTCTGCTGACTAGTTTGTTGGCAGGAGATCACCTCGGCCTTTCTTCTGAGGACATCTGGGTGGACTCAAGCTCCTCATCTTGCAGTATGCAGCCAAGTGTGTTCATGGTTTGCACCAATATGGACTCCCTCACCAAGTTACCATCATTTTTTAAAATGAATGTCTATGAGCCTTTCCTCTGCGCTAAGCACTCTGCAAGCGCATTATGTGTATTCTCTCCTACTTCATTCTCATAATCGCTCTATGAGGTCAGGCAGCTGGAAAGTTCTGGAGCTAGTTGATCTGGCATCAGAGCTCTGGTCAAGCAACTTCGGAGCCAGTGCATTCTATAGTGAGCACAGTTATGCTGATGCCTCCTCCTGGCCCCGAGTTACTGAGAAAAACAAAGGAGCAGGTCCGAGAAGCAGCTGGCAGCTTTGGCACCCCTGGGTCATCACAGCTCCTGAATTCACCCCCACCCCCACCCAGGTCCAACCTGGTTGTTGAAAGCTGACTCCTCCAGCCGCTTCCCATAGAGAGCCAGCTCCTCTCTCACCATCCGGCTCCGGGCAGATGGTTCCAGGGGCCCCAGAGCTATCAGGTGGGCACCTTGGCTCTGCTCCAGGCTCTGCCCCAGGCTCGTGTCACTAGACACGCTCAGCACCAGGTGTACCCTCTGCGGTATTCGGGCGGAAGGGTTAGGGAGACAGAAGGCAAGGAGGAGACCAGCGTTGGCGAGGTCCCTCTCACCGACCTTCCAACACCCACCTTGTCCTCACGCTCACCCGAGGCAGGGACTTCGGGATCCAGTCTGAGATCAGCTGCCTGTTCTGGTCCACCAGCCTGTCCGCCCCATCGATGATCAGCACCAGGCTCTGGCCGGCGTGCAGGGACTGAGCACACTCAGGCAGCAGCCTCTGCTGTAGCTCCCAGACCAGCCCTCTAAGTCAGGAAGAAGGCCGGGCTCAGAGGGAGAGGGGCACCCAGGGGGGTGTCCCAAGGCATGGGCCCAGCTAGGCTAAGGGAGTGACACAAACCGGTAGGTATTGGGGAGGGCGCTGGACTCTTGCAGATGGCTATGCAGATAGGTACAGAGACGTCTGAGCAGGGTCAGAGCAAGACACTGGTCAGGCCGGGCACCTGAAAAGTGGAAGAAGACCAGGGGGGCCACTCTGGTCCCGTCGGGAGTCTGCAGGGCTGACACAAGGGATGCCTGTGTGGGATGGGAGCAGAGGACGTGGTCATATTGTACACGCACAAGCTCCCTGCGCCCCACTTCCTTTGCCCACCAGCTCCGTCCCGCCCCAGGCCTCTGAGGCTCCGTACCAAGAAGGCGGTCTTGCCCTGCCCTGGCTGCCCGAGCACCAGGCTTAGCCTCCCCCGGTGCTGCATCAACTGCTGCACTGTGTCCTGAAGCAGGCGTGGCCGGGCAGAACTGGGTGGGCTCTGCAGCTGCTGGAAGGTGGCCTGGACCGAGTCGTCATCAGGGGTGGACACTGGCTGCTCCAGCTGGGACCCGGGCTGAGGGCATATGGGACCAGCATATGGGACCATGGCTAGCATGCTCCTGGGACCCCCCTGGCAGGCCAAACTCACAGAGCACCCACCAAGCTACTTCCCCACCCAGGAATACCAGACCATCCTAACACACACTCCGCCCCCTGCTGGTTTCCAGCCCTCCTGCTGACCTGTAGGTAAAGCTCCTGAATCATATTCCACACATCCTGCAGAACCAGCTTCCCAAACTCCTCGAGTCCCCCAACATAGGGTCGGCCAGCTGCTACACCCCCCCACTCACAAGAGTATCTGTGGGCAAAGCAAGCACACCTCCGGTCAGAGCAGACCTGGCTCCCTCTGCAGTGCCCTCCATCCACCCACCACCCACACACACACACACACCTCTCCCTGCAGGTGTGCCACCTCCCCAGCTCACCTGCGGCAGGTGACCTCGCTCTGTTTGCTCAGGTGGCTCTTCAGTTCTGTGATCCGATGTGCAGCCTCTTTAGACTCAGGGATAAAGTCGGATTTCCAGGTTTCTGGCACACACCTGACCCCAACAGTGAGGATGACTCAGAGTCCGTCCCCTTACCCCCCTGCCGGCTGAGATGCCCTGAAACTTGTTCTCAAAAGCAGACCTGGGACTTCAGCTCCAAGGCTGAACCAGGAGGCAGAGGCCAGCTCTCTGCAGCCTGCCTGTCTCTCCTAGAATGCAGATCAAAGGGCTCTGCAGTGAGCATTTGTAAATGCTGACCACCAACGCCTTTGGCTTCTTACATTGTACGAAACCCAGACCCAAGAGCCTCATTGCCTTGTCTCTGTTAGATGAGGCTCTCGTGTTCTTATTTCCCATGTTTCTAACCACAGGATGGCCCAAGAAGTTTACTCCCAGCCCCTGAACGTAGGGGAGACAAGACAGGACCACCGAGCCTGCCTGGCCTTCGCTAGAGACTGGGCCTGGAGGCAACTGGGGTTGGGGTTGGGGTGTACCTGAGGAAGCTGGGATCCCGGAAGTAGATGAGCGCTGGGACAGAGGTCTGGCTTCGGTTCAGGAACTGCATCACTTCCATCTCCGTCACCGAGCGCCCTGGCGGGTACTGCCGGGCCTGCAGGGAGTAGGCAGAGGACAGACACAGCTCAGTCTAGCCCTGGACACTAACCTCTCCTCCAGCCCTGCCTGGGCCCCTGCTCCTTCAATCTCCACATGATTCCTCCCTCTTTCCAGAAACAAGCCAAGAAAACAGCTAACTGTTAACGTTTATGGATTATGTGGGCCAAGCGTTTTTTAGAGGTTACTTTAAAATCAGAGTGACTCTGCAGTACCGATGTCATCAGTTCCCTCTACTCTATGGGAAAATCATGACGAGGCTCAACTAAGCAGCTTCCCACAAAGCCATGCAGTATGTGCACGACAGAAGGGAGAACAGGACCAGTGGACTCCGTGCTTGCCTTTCCAATCCCAGAGGAACCTCTCTGAGCAACGCCCCTACCCTGGGGCCCCGGGGCCACCCACAGATGGCCTGGATGTCATGTCAAGTCTCAAGGATGTGCCTGGGTCCAGTCCCAAGGTTCCTGACAAAGGGCTGTCTGCCCCCCCCCAGAGCCCTGCCCCAGCTCTGGCTGCCTTACCCACTGGAAGTGCGGCTGGTCAGGCAGGCTGTAGCTGGGGGGGATGTAGCCATAGCGCGAGCCCAGCACCCCCACGAACAGCTGCGAGTTCTCCACCTCCCGGAGGCACACTTCCAGCTGTCTGTGGGCACAGACGTGGGGACATGCAGGAGTCACGTTACCAAGAAATACTGGTGCGACGGGGAAACGGGACGCTCGGCTTACCCCCCACCCCCGCCCAGTCCCCCAAGCCCTCACGCCGGGCTCGGGCCCTGCCTCTGCGGCCCCGCACCTGTTCCTCCGGGTCTCCTCCTCGGTGACGCCCCAGCGCAGGTCGATGGCGTGCAGACTGAGGCGGTGGGGCGCTGTGCGGGCCTGCAGGGCCGGCAGCACCATCCTCAGCAGCAGGTCGCGCTCCCCGTGCATGTCCCGGAACGTGGACGAGATGAAGAGGCGGATGCTGCGCCATCTGGGGGTGAGCAGAGAGGACAGGGCTCAGCCGGGGGGCGCCCACCCTGTGTCCAGTTCCACAGGCACCCATGGATTACCCTTCAGCTTTGAGCTCGAGCCGGTCGGCAGACAGCAAGCAGAGAGGTCAGAGAGTGCTCGCCACCCCACCCCACCCCACTCCCCGCAAAAATAGCAAGCTGGTAGCCTTGATGGCAGTGCCCTGGGGCTGGAACTCCACTTGTCACTCCTCCTGCACCCCTCTATTTGTCGGCAGGTACTTCTCTCCTCTCGGAATGCTTGCGACTGCGCTGGTTAGCATGGTCAGTGGTCAGCATGGCCGCTGTCCTCATCTAAGCTCAGCAAACTGCACCTTGAAATAACTATGCAACTAGCCGCCCCAAGGGGCTGTCGCTGTCGTTCCTGGTGGCTCTCAGGTATCAGAGCAGAACTCTGCTCCACAGGCTTTCAAAAGCTATGACCTTTTGGGACCCGGTCACCAGCCCCAGCTAAGGGGCTGCTGGGGCTGTTCCAGCCACCAGTCTCTGGCTGGTCGTAGAGCACGTCACCATCCAGGGACTGGCCTCACCCCAAGTCCAAGTTACTGTTTGGAAAAGCCAAGAAGTCAGAGCCGATGCTCCTAAGCCCCTGCTCCATGGTCATGGTACCTGCTGCCATCCCTGCCTTTTGACAGCCTCTCCCCGTTAGAGAAAGGGGCCATTGGCCATCTGACGGTTATGAGAGAGGTACGGAACCCCTGCCTGGCAGAGAAGCAAACAGCACCACCCCTGTCAGCGTTTCGGTCACCGGCGTTTTCCTCTAGGATTCCACTGCAGCACCTCCCTAGTCACAGAAGCTCAGAAGCACAGACTGACCCGTGCTGGGAAACAGGAGCCACGGGGCTTGGAGTGTTCTCTTCCAGCGGCCTGAGAGGCAGGAGCCCTGCCTGTCCTGGCGGGGGTGGGATCTTGAAGATTCTGTCCATCTGGCCCACATGTTCTAGAAGACGGGAGGCCCCGCGCTGTGCAATGAACCTGAGGCAAACAGTAACAAACACTAGCAGAATGCAAGAGGTGAGAATCGGGCAGAGAGGGGTGAAGGCAGGGCGAGGGTAGGTCCCCCATTACCTGGAGTTCCTTAACAAAGTCACCACAGCGTGACTGCACACATGAAACCCATGAGGTGCAGAACCACCAAACCCAAAAGCACACACACACACACACACACACACACACACACACGCGCGCGCGCGCGCTACCGACGCCTAGTGATTCCCTATAGGAGCCGCCCCTGTTGGACCTTGCAGATCGCAACCCAACGTGCATCTACTACACTACCAGAGCTCCACTGCAGAATCACATGGCTGAAGAGACTCGGTTCTCCAGCTTTGCGTGATTGTAATCAAAGCTTTTCTGTTGAGCCAGAGGCAACTGGGCTGGGCAGGGTTGTAAAGACTAAGGCCCAGACTGGGCTTGAGCTCCCTGGAGGAGGAGGGATGTGTATGGGGTTTCCCAACAGGAAGTGGGGGCAGAAGACATCCAGCAGAAAAGGTAGGGAGGGCAGCGAGAATATAAATGAAAGGACTAAGGGTGGAGAGAGGGACAAAGTAAAAGATTTCTTCAATTCTGCATCAATAGAGGTGATTTAAAAATATATATCATAAATAGAACAAAGGCTACAGAGTGAAGAGAATTTAAAGTTGGTCGCATCATTAAAAAATAAACACTACTACCTCCTGTCCCCCATTTTTTCCCCTTACTGGATGTAAGACACTTGTTTCCTCCCTTCTGGATAGAATCATCTTGAAGTATGAGGTCTCTGGCAGTTACATAATTTCATGTCAACTTGATAAAGAAGTGTAGGGTGGAGTCTAGCCTGTCAATCAGGTCCCAGCCTGATGATGCCTCCTTGTGGGCATGGCCTTCTCATGAGGATTCTGGGGACTTCCTCTCTCTCTCTGCCTCACCTTCCTGTTAAAGAGCCACACCTAGAGAGCTGGAGAAGCCACGTGGAGACCTGCGCCAGCATTGAAACGCTTCCACCACCACCACCACCACAGGATCCACAAAGCTTTCCACCCACCAGCCGGGGATCTTCCTGCACTCGGCACCATTGCATGTAGCTGTGTCCCTGAAGTGGGACTCGTATTGGACTTGAGGGCTAGTCTGGACTTGATCTGGACTTATGGACTTGATCTGGACTTATGGACTTGATCCGGACTGGGCTGGGATGTTTTCTCAATATACAATTGCTCTTTGCTATAAAGCTCTTTCTTACACACATATGGGTATCTCTGGAGTTGTTTCTCTAGTCAACCCAGCCCAACACATGTTCGAAGCTGAGGACAGTGAAGTAATAACTTAGAAACCTGTGTCCCTGTAACATTTTGGAGCTACTATCCCTTGGCAGCTGTAGAAAAGGAATAAAATTCTATTTTGCTTAAAAAACAAATGAGCAAACAAAAAATCTGAATGGGGTAGAGACCACAGGTAGTATCTAAAAGACATTCCACAAATCCCCAAAACTTGTCATGTACTCACTTTAGTATCCCATCAGTACAGCCTGTGAGTGTCACATCATTGGGGTTCGCATCTGGTAACCTGGCAAAAGAAGAAGTAGCCAGTAAACCATCTGAAACCAGGCCAGGACCTCAGAGTAAGTACACACTAGCATCTTGGAGTGGACACGTTTCCGCTGTGATTTTAATTGGGTTATGTACTAGGCTGGCATAGATCCTCACAAAGGGATCCAGAGCTAGGTTGAAGACTGTACAGAAGGTTCTAGCATCCACAGTGCATGCGAGGTAGGAGGGCAAATAGGAGGAGGGGCCAGGAGAGAAACAGTGTTCCCAACATGGGCAGAGGTGCAAGGCCCTTCTGACTCAGGTGGGAGCCTATTCCTGCTTACCAGTATGGGCGCCCACGCAGGTCAACACCAACAAAAAGGCACTTGGAATTCACATGTCGCCAGATAAGCTGTTTAGCTGCATTTACCCATTTGTGATTTGTATCTTGGCCAAAAACGATGACCCTATCCATCTGTAGGATGAGAGGGGAAAAGCTGAGACCAGGGGACAAAAGGAGAGAGCAGACACTAACAAGGTCAGGATATCAAGAACAGTCTCAAAAGAACGGGGAGCAAGAAGAATTCTGAGGGACATGGGGACCTGCCTCTCAGGGTGGGGGTGCATAAGTTCCTAAGCTTTTAGGATGAGGGAAGGAGCCCTGGTGGCGCAGTGGTTACGCGCGGGCTGCGATCTTCATGGTTCATCAGGAGAATGATGGGGCTTTCTACTCCTATATGCCATTTGTTCCACTCCTATAAACAGTTACAGTCTTGAAAACCCACAGGGGGTCACTATGAGTCAGCATTGACTCGATGGCAGTGAGTTTGTTTTTTGGATGGGTGAGCCAGCATAAAACCCCAAACCAAACTCAGAGAGACCCGGTAGAAGAGAGTAGAACTATTTCTTTGGGTTTCCATGTTGTAAATTTTAATGGGGGCAGACAGTATCATCGTTCTGCCACAGAGCAGCTGATGGGTTTGATCTGCTGACCTTGCGGTTAACATCCCAACTTAACCCACTGTGCTGCCATTTATTCAATTCAGATTTATTGTGACCCTGTATATAGTTTCTGAGGCTATCAATCTTTACAGCAACAGATGGCCTCATTTTTCTCCTTATGAACAACTGGTGGTTTTGAACTGCCAACCTTCCGATTAGCAGTCCACCACTTACTCAACCATGCTACTAGGGCACATTGTTAAGTATAGCAATTATTAGACATTAAACTGCACTATAATGAATAAAGTATCTTAAAAATGAAAATAATAAATATTGAAAGGTCACTACTTCATAACTATGTTACAACATGTTATTACCACTACCTACTCTTAAACTCATTTGCAAGCATATCTGAGTGGGGAAATGTTAAACAAGGGTGAGCTACTAAGTATCTCTTCCGAACTCCCTCCAATGACCGCAGGTTGACAGCTGGAAACTGCTGTAAAACAATACTCATTTTTCAGGATGCCTGGTGGTTCCACACTTAGCAGGGTATTTGCTTTTGCGTGGTCACGAAATAAGATCCATGCATTCTGGAGGAAAACGAAGGGAGGGCGAGTTTCCTCAAGGGCTGGGCGGTACTCACAGGGACCCTTTGGACAGCCAGTGACAGCAGGTACTTTCCCAAAGTATCCACAGACCACTCCTCATTCTCTTCCAACTCCTGCAGGAAAGGTTTTGGTCATTTAGGTGGTGTGACAGCAGGCATTGCGTGGTCAGTAAGAAGCAAACGCAAGAGCCGGCTGAGGAAACCTTTGGAACCGTGCACAGTCTTGACTTCAGTGACTGTCAGGTCCTTCCCAGACTGGTGTCCACTCATATTTTTTTTAATGAAGGGGTCAAACCTGAACTTGAGCCTGGAGCTCAATGGCAGTCTTCAGGATCCCTTGCTCGGCCTTCAGCACCGCTGTCTTCAAAGTGCCTCCGCCACACAGCAAGAGGTCTGCCTGCTCCGCCCGAGCGATCATCATTCCAATCAACAGCAGCACATAGTTCAGAGGGGGCTGAGTGAACAAGCACCAAGGTGGAGCAGACTCCCCTGACTTCGAATCCACCCGTGCTCTCCCAGTGCTGCAGGCCTACCCCCTCACTTGTGGGAGCAGGCGAGAGGGCTTCAACCACCCCATGGGAGATGCCTGGGGCAGCCAAGAGGATCCAGGAATCCCACCCAAAGTCAGCCCTGAGATGGAGTGAAGGTGAGACACCCTTTGGTGGCAGCAATTTAGAGAGCAGGAAGCACTAGCCAAACATGAAATGGTGACTTTATCATCCGCAAACAGGGCCAGAGAAAACACATTCTAGGAACTGCCCCTGGGGCAGAACCAGGGCCTGACACTGGCAGTTCAATTCACAGCGGCTAGCTCAGGCCCGAGGGCTTCTTTGAGAGGACTAGATCTGGGCAGCAGATCACTTCTTGGAGTCCCCCAATACCAACCAACACCCCGCTGCTTTTCTTGTTTACCCCTTCTGAGTTTCTCTTGGGGAAGAGTTTGTCTGCATTCGAATCAGTCAGGTAGATCAGGAGGGTGCGGCCTGGCAACGGGGGCAGGCTGTGCTGCACGGACAGGTTCACGGCTGTCTCCAGGGCCTGCTTGTACCGAGCCAGCATCACGCCATCATATGTCCGCTGTCTGCAAGCGAGAAAGATGCAGAGGGCTTCAGGGCTCACCTGCCTGCTGCTCTGAGGCAAATGAGAAGATGAGAATGTGCCCCTCAACTTCAGAGGCCTCTCCCTTCCTCCCATGGCAAGCACTGCCTCCCTTTTCCATAGTCTGCTTCTACTGCCAGCACAGAAAACTGTCTGAGCTTCCTTCTGTCGCCATTCAACAAGAACTCCTCTAACACAGTCCCATGGCGGGAGACAGCCCATCCATCGCAGATCTACCCTGTGAACCACTCATCACACTTACACATTCACCCAGACCTCATGAGACAGTTTTACTGCTAAAAAACACCCCCAAAACACACCCGGTACCGTTAAGGCTATTCTGACTCACAGCAACCGGACAGGACAGAGTAGAATTAAATTACTCCTGTGGGTTTTTGAGGCTGTCAATCTTTACAGGAGCAGAAAGCCTCCTCCTCTTCCTCTCTCAGAGTGCATGCTGGGTTCAAACTACTGGCCATGCGGTTAAGATGCCACTAGGACCCAAGGGCTCAATAAAAGTAAATGTCTAGAAAAGAATGAGGGCAACGTATGTACAAATATGCTTGATACGATTCATGTATGGATTGTTATAAGAGTTGTAAGAGGCCCCAATAAAATGATCTTTTAATTTTAAAAAGTTAAGTAATTTAAAAAGAGATAGCAAAACAAAACAAAAGATACCAGCAGGGCTCCATTTGTACTGTTGTCAGTGTGTGTGTGTGTGTGTGTGTATACATATATAATTTTTTTCTGGGTACATTTTTTTCTGTATATTTTCAATTGTATTTTAAAGAACAAATACTAATGCCTGGCCTCTGGAAACAGGCAATTAGAAGAAAAAGAAAGAAATATTCAGCCTGCTTTTTCTTAACAAGGTCTACCCTTTTCAGGGAACTAAAAGGCTTAAAGGAGCTCTCGTGGCACAGTGCGCCACACATTGGGCTGCTAACCACAAGGACAGCAGCTTGAAACAGCCTACGAGCAAGACGAGGCCTCCTACTCCCGTAGAGATTTACAGTCTCAGAAACCCACAGGGGACCGCTCTACGGCATCTGCAGGGGGTTGCTAGGAGTTGAAATGACTCCAGGGCAGTGCATTTTTCAGTATGAGCTTTAAGGAGCCTGGCGGCAATATTGGGAAAGTGTTGGATTATTAACGGAAAGGCCAGCGAGTCACAGCCACCAGCCAATCTGTGGTAGGAAGATGAAACTGTCTACTCCCCTGAAGAGCGACAGCCCTAGAAACCCTGTCTAGGTTGCTACGAGTGGGAATGAGCACGGTGGCAGAGGATGGGTAAGTAGATTTAATCAATGAGGACAGTGCTTTGGGAATTCTAGCTAATACATTTTATGAAGTGGTAGGAAACCTCACTTCCAATCACTATTGAAACAATTGACCCAGGCAAAAGTCAGCAATGAGTGAACTCACTTTACAATGTGGAGACTGGGCTGTTACCGCATAAAGGCCCATCCATCTTAACATCACTGAGTTTGGCTGCCAGACTTTGGGGGCCTCCTCATCGAATGCTGTATAAGGTACACTGGGTCACCTGTGCAAGGTCCTTTGCGGAGGTGGGAGGGGAGAGGAGTGGGGTCTTTCAAAACCTTCAGAGCTAATGTACACAGTGCTTGAACAAAGGACACTCTCCTGAGACCCCTAAAGCTGGCTTCACAGCAAGTCATCAGCACGAAGCGAAAGATTAACAGAGATGGGAAAGACTTATCAAATGCAAGCGGGAGAAAAACCGGGCTTCCTACTCCCATAAACAGTTAGTCTGGGGCACCCAGAGGGGCTTGCTATCAATCGGCATTGACTCAATGGCAGTGAGATCAAATGCAATCAGAACACCTTGTTTGGCTCCTCATTTGAGAAAAACTGCAGAAAGATTTTTGGTTTTTTAGGTAATAGGAAAATTTGAATGTGTATTGAATACATAGATGATCTGATACCAAGAATTATTTTCCATTTTGTTTAGTAATACCAATGGCATTTAATTATGTAAGAAAAGCCAGTGTTTTAAGAGACACATGTAAGGTATGGAGGTGAAGGGGTACAATAAGATGCATCATATGTTGTACCATTTATTCGAAGAACTTCCTCAGAGAGAAAAAAATGGATTGATACAGGAAGTGTGGGAAAATCCAGATAATCAGTTTGTGCGGCTAACAGTTTTAAAAGACTTCATTACACTAGTCTCACCACTTAAGTGCATATTCAAAATTTTTCATACTCTTTTTTTAATCTAGGGAATTCAGTAGTCTCTACCACTGCTGTCCAATAGGATGAAATAAAAGTGAAATGAAACTGAAATGAAACATGCATGCTTCAACGGATAGTTTTTAGAAGCTGTATTTTTTTTTAAAGGAACCAAACCAAACTCATGGCCATCAAGCCAAGACTGACTCAGAGCAACCCTATAGGACAGGGTAGACCTGCCTCGTGTGGATTTCTGAGACTGTAACTCTTTTTCCCTCCACTTTTAAATTAACATCCTTTCTTTGTATCTCTTTCTTTTATTGACCATGCAAAGGCATTTGACCGTTCGTATCATAACAGACCCTAGGTAACCTTGAAAGAACGGGAAATTCCAGAACACTCCATCCACATGTCATACATTTCAATAATTCAATCAGATCAAGAAGAGTTGCACAACCATCACCACAGTCACAGAGAATGTTCTAGAATTGACTGTGGGGAGATTTGCAATTCTGTACAGGAGTAGAAAGCCTCATTTTTCTTCCAAGGAGCAGCTCATGGTTTCAAACTGCTGATCTTTTTATTTTAATCATTTTATTGGGGGCTCACTCATACAACTTTCATCACAATGAACTGCTGATCTTGAACTCAGAAGCTCAATGCATAACCACCATGCCACCTGGCTCCTCAAAAAAGGAACAGATGGAATTAATTTGATATTACATTTTATTTCACCTGATAGCTATAAAATCTTTTCAATTCAATACAGTTATTAATTTCTAACTGCGTTTAGATTTTTTTCTCAGTCTTCAAACTCCAGCACACCTCTGTTCAGACTAACCATATTTCAAATGCTTAAGAGCTACACGTGGCTAGTGGTTACCATGCAAAGAACAGCAAACAGAGCCAAACTCACTGCCACGAGCCAATTCCAATGCCCAGTGGCCCGCTAGGACAGAGCAGAACCACCCCGGCAGCTTTCTGAGGCCGTGCATCTTTACAGGAGCAGAAGCACACATCTTTCACGTAGCTCACCGTGCCACCGAGTCCCGCAGTGTCCACCACAGTGGTTAGCAAGCGCGCCATCTCTCTCTTTTTTTTTTTTTTTACGAACGAGGCAATTTATTAACCCAGCATTTGTTCTAATGTTTCTTGTTGGCAGCTGCCACCTGTCCGGCGATTCTGTCCAGATCTCTCTGTCCCTGAGGTGTCAGTTTGCGGCCGCCGTCTTGGTCCTTCTCCACCATCTTGAGCCCCTCCAGGGCTTGCTTGAAGGACCCGGCGGGCCACGCTCTTGGAGCCCCGGCTGAAGTGGCTGGGCATGACACCATTCCTCTGCCGCCCCCCGTAGATCTTGGTCATGGAGCCAACCCCAGCGCCACCCCGAAGGTACAGGTGCCGTGCTGTGGAGGCAGCTCGCGTGTAGAACCAGTTCTCGTCATAGAGAGCAAGCTCTTTATGCTTGGCCAACTTGACTATGTCTACCCACTCAGGGACTTTCAGCTTCCTGGACTTTTTGAGGACGGCTGCTAGAGCTCGGACGAACTCCTGCTGGTTCACGTCTTTTACAGTCACTCCGGGCATCGTGCGGCCTCCGCGCTGCCGGCCAGGGGAAAGGGCGTGTGCCATCTCTTAAATGACCTTGTGCTTGGCCATGAGTCAGAAGACCGCTTGAGTCTTGCTACTTTATTAAGGTGAGTCCTGCGCTCAACTTGAGTAAAACCAGTATAGCATTGTCCAAGCACCGCAGTAGCGGTTCTCAACCTGTGGGTTGCGACCCTTTGGGGGTCGAACGACCCTTTCACAGGGGTCGCCCGATTCATCACAGTAGCAAAATGACAGTCATGAAGTAGCAACGAATATAATGTTATGGTTGAGGGGGTCACCACCACATGGGGAACTGTACGAAAGGGTCTTGGCGTTAGGAAGGTGGAGAACCACTGCCTAGAAGGTCTTAGCCCAACCTGTGGAACAGGCTGTGTGTTTGTCTTTGAGCCTGCTTCGTGACAACTATCTTGATGACGGTCAAAAGAATTGGATGAGTCAGAAAATACAAACACAGATGTCGTCACAGTGAAGAAAAAGGAAACGGTGAACCTGGAGAAGCCACAAGGACCCTCGCATGCACCACGCACTGCGAGAAAGGCAGGTGCCACGTTGATTCTACGATTGAAAGCACACACAAAAACCTGCTGTCGAGTTGATTCACATCCACGGGACTCCCGTGTGTGACAGAGCACAACTGTCACACAGGGTTTTCTTGGCTAGAATCTTTATGGATTGCCAGGTCTTTCTTCCTCGGTGCCACTGGATGAGTTCCAACCCCAAAACCTTAGGTGGCTAGACGAGGCACACCATCTGCCCCACGCAGGGTCCGCCCCATCATCACCAGATACATAAAGTTATCACAGAGAATAGAGTGGAAGCATAGATTGTACTTCGTAACCTCTCCACAGAACAAGGTTAAAGATAACATTTGCTATGCTGGAGACAATGGGAGCCAGGCAAGTCTGAACCACTCGGAGCACAGAAAAGCTTGTTTCTACAGAACAGCATCTGGGGCTCTCCACCAAGGTGCTTCCTGTAGCCCACCCGATTCCAGGGTGGGATACGTACCTGACCTTGTGTAGTCTGGCCTTCTCCCGCTTGAACTGCTCATATATCATAGGCACCATCATCGCTGTTCGAAGTTCCCGGCGTTTTAGGTTCATAAGCTGCCCCCGAGCAACGTATGTGCGGGCACATTTTGAGATTCGAATCATGAGTTTTCCCATCAGTTGTGTGTTCGAAGGAAATGGGGATGCTGTGTAACAACAGGCAGTGATCTGAGTCAGGGAGCTTCGACACCTTCATCTTGTTCTCCCATCCATACTGGTCCTGAACCCCAGCCCCTGGAGCTGGCACGGTCCAGCCTCTCTCTGCCCACCCCATATCCGAGACCAGGAGGCAAGAAGCTACATGCCAGCATCACCATCTCCAACGTCCACACACATGAGAGGATTGAGGAGAAGGGAGACAATACCTTTATCCCTGAGTTCAACCTCAAGTTTATCGATGGAATCGTGGGCATTAAGGAATCTGAATGGAAACTGCCGACTGTGGATCACTGATTTCTAGAAAGCAAAGAAGGGGTTGTGAGCGGATGACCCAGACATGTGAGGGCCCCCTGGGACTCCAGAGGAGGGGGCGGGGGGAAGCATCAGGTTCAAATGGTGGAAACACGAGGAAAGACAAAGTGGATATCAGAGTAGGTGTCTAAAGAGAGGCCACGGAAAGCCCTCCTTTGAGAATGTAAGAAGGAGGAGGAGGAAGTGACGGAAGGGGCTTTGTAAAAAATCTTTGACATTCCTCTCAAGTCAGTCAGCTCACAGAGACTCCTCTTCAAGGCTAAACGCCCTGACCCCAAGAAATGAAAAGGAAGGTTCTTATACTCCACTGCAATCAAAGCGTTAACCAAACCTGTTCCCCCATCTACTGGTATCTCTCTGCCTGTGGATGGCCCACATGGAAATAGCTGGAAGACCATGGCTCTCCCACACCCTGGGCAAATCTGGCCTCCATCGAAGCCACAGAATGTCCACACCCACCTAAGGTGCCAGGCCACCTAACGACGTGTCCCTCACACATACCGGGTGCTGGAGTCGCTGGAGAATGAGTTCGTGGTGTTGGGCACTGATCCCAACGCGCAGCAGGCTGCAGAGGTTCCGCAGCATGGCCATGAAGGGAAGCTTCCCGCTGTCTGCGGACGGTCCATGTGAAAGGAAACAAGGTGCAGAGATGTGAAAATGCATGTGCCTCCCACAGTTCAAACAGACAAAACAGAAAAGGCCAATTATCTAAAGGAACATATGCCTCTCCGGTCTGATTCTTTTTTTCTTTTCAATCAATAGTCTAAATATGGAGTTCCACAGAAATTCCAGTATGCGATGATGTGAGAGTATGAGTTTGTTTGGTGAGTGGCACAGATATTGATACCAATGAAATAATAGAAAAGGCACCAATTTTATGATGTGTTGATGAAGGCCGGCAGTACCACCGAACTCCATCCGGAACATTGACCGCCTGGTGATGCACCAGTTCAGCACGTGGCTGCTAGCCCAAAGGGTGGCCATCTGAACCCAGCTCGTGGTTCTGGATATCTGCTTCCACAGAGGTGACAGCCAGGTGCCTGATAGAATTAATCGATGTATGGAATCTTATAAAAGCTGTAAGAGCCCCCAATAAATTGATTGAAAAAGATGACAGCTGACAAAGCCCTATTGGGTTGTGGGTCCCAACAGTAGCAATGCGATGCCAATACCACTCACAACAGACACCACCGTCCCCATTGGTGTGTGGCCAATGGCAGATCTTATGCATTCAGCCATTTCTGCATTACGACTGCTAGGTATGTCACAGAAACCTTCTGGTCAGCGTATGAACTACAGAGACATGAATGGAGAAGAGTGGACAGGCATGTGACCGTCAAGGTCACCCACCGATGAGCTCTTCCCAGACAGAAGCCTTGTTCCCCCGCAGGCTCAGCTCTCGCTCCCAGGTCTCCGGCCGAGGGAGCTTCATCCGTTTCCCAGCTTTGCTAGAATCCCATGGCCCGGGGAGGTGACTTTGAGAAAACAGCTGTATGTTGGAGGGGTATCTAGGACAGAGGGAAAACAGCTTGATGATTGCAAAGCCAGCTGAAAATTACACAGAGAAGAAGACGTGAGCCAATCAAAGGCGGTCAGTCAAGTGTACACAACAAGCTCATTATGTTGCTAGGGGTGAGGACTGGGGCCAGAGATGCTAGAGTTAGCGGTTTCCCAGGTGGGATGAATCTTCACGGCAGACCTTCTCACCTGTAGCCCAGCAGCGCTTGGACATGCTGGGCAGGCTCCCGGATGTGCAGTCGCTGTACCAGCTTCTTGAGGGTGAACCTTGGCTGGTGTTTCTCTGGCACTGCATTGTAGGCTGCCTCAAACTGTGGGAACATCCCCAAGGCCCGCAGGGTGCATTTGGCTCATGACCACAAAGACCTTTGTTCAGAAAGCAGAACCTAAAACCATCCGATCGTGATTGCTGTCTTCCCCAAAATAGGTTTTGGCAAAGAGTAGGATGAGGTGGGAAAATCTCTGGCAACAAGAGCTCTTGTGATGAATCTTTGGGGTGACTGGGTTTCATACACACATGACGAGTGACTGCTGAAAGTCAAGGTGGGGAGGGAATGCCCAGAGATCAACCTTGTAAGGAAAAGCCTCTCCTATTGAGATCACAGAGACTTAGGTAAATGGAGGCATCCGTACACCGAACACAGTGAGGAGATTAAAAAACCGAAAGATGTGGGCTGGTCAGCATCTTCCAAGGCAGAAGAGCTAAATTTAGGCTAAAAAGACCAGATGACCACCAAGAACGCATTTCTCTTTATAATACTGATATCTTTTCCCTAATCGCCTATTCTGATCATGGTTTCAATGATGAGTATCACCACTTATTCAGTATACTGTTAGAAATACATTAAAGCAATTGATCTAATCTGCACAAAAACCCAATGAAATAGTCACTGTTATTATCCCCACTTTACTTGTTTGTGAGAAAATTGGGACAAGAAGTCATTTGGCTTTTTTTTTTTTTAACATTTTATTAGGGGCTCATACAACTGTTATCCCAATCCATACACACATCAATTGTGTAAAGCGCATTTGTACATCGTTTCTCAAAACATTTTCTCTCCACTTAAACCCCTGACATTAGGTCCTCATTTTTCCCCTCCCTCCCCGCTCCCCCCTCCCTCATGAGCCCTTGATAGTTTATAAATGGGTATTTTGTCATATCTTGCCCTGTCCGACGTCTCCCTTCACCCACTTTTCGGTTGTCTGTCCCCCAGGGAGAAGGTCACACACAGTTCCATGTAATCGGTTCCCTCTTTCCTACCCATTCTCCCTTTACCCTCCCTGTTTTGCCACTCACACCACTGGTCCTATAGGGATCATCCATCCTGGATTCCCTGTATTTTCAGTTCCTATCTGTACCAGTGTACCTCCTCTGGTCTAGGCAGACTTGCAATTCCATCTTGTAAGTCATTTGACTTCTTATGTGACAAGTCAGTGGTTCTCAACTTTCCTAATGCCGCTACCAAACATACAGTTCCTCATGTGGTAGTGACGCCCAACCATAACATTTTTTTCATTGCTACTTCATGACTGTCATTTTGCTACTTTTATGAGTCGGGTGACCCTGTGAAAGGGATGTTCGACCCCCCCACAGAGTCACGACCCACAGATTGAGAACCGCTGTTATAAGAGGTTCAAGCCCTGGCGGTCTGGATCCAGTTCCTATCCTCTTATCCCAACTGCTCTGGAGGCCCTCAGGTAGCTGCTAACCACCAGGTTAGTGGTTCCCACCCACCAGCTGGTCCTCAAGAGAAAGATGAGATTTTGCCCATAAAGGTTTACAGCCTTGCATAAATGCTATATAATATCTACAGCCCGGGAAACGCTGTAGAGGGTCACTGTGTCAGAAATGACTCCGTAGCAGTGAGTTTAACCACCATCACAGTTGAACGATTTTGTTTGGAAAACTTTGTATGGGAAGTAGGAGTCCTGGTGGTCCATCCAGTGGTTAGCCACCTGCCTGCTAAGTGAGAAGTTGTCGGTTTGTACCCGTCAACTGCTCTGGGGAGAAAGAGGTGCCAGAGTCCAGGGACCTCTGTGGAGCAATTCTACTCTGTCCTCTAAAGTCACCATGCGTCAAACAGCAGGCATGCGTTTGGTTTGGGTCTGGGTGGTTGGTTTGCTCTAGGAGGTAGCTAGTTCATAATGTGTTGACTTATCAGGCTGAACGTGCCCCCCATCTAAAATAAAATATCAAGGAGAGAGAAGACCCTTTCCCAGTGGGCAGTAAGTTGGTGTGCATGTATCACACCCACTATGACTATTTCTGACACGAATTAAATTCCGTCTCTAAATATTAACCCGGAAGCGATCATTCAAGCACATACATAACCCCAGGACAAAGGACTCACCTTCTTCTGCTCCTCTGTTAGAGATCGAAGGAACCTTGGTAAACAGCGCTGGGTCTCAGAAAATGGACGGCCAGACTTCTGCCGGGACAGGAGAGACGGTGTCCAAAAGAGGGCAGTGGCGGTTGTTTCAGGAGAGACCCATTCGAATAGCCCAAAGACCCATCGCTAAGGAGCCCTGGTGGCATAGTGGCTACATGTTGTGCTGCTCACCCGAAGGTCGGCAGTTTGAAACCACAGGTTACTCCTCAGGAGAAAAACAGGGATTCTGCTCCTGTAGAGAGTTCCAGTCTTGGAAACTCACAGGGGTAGTTCTACCCTGTTCTAGAGGGTTTCCATGAGTCAGCACTGACTCAGTAGCTGTTGAGTTTGGTTTTAGTAAAGACCCATTGCTACCAAAAAGGAAGCCTTGTCCCGCTCTCTCTGCCCCAAGCTCTCCCCCAGTTCCTCTCTAACCCTTGTGCCCCCTGGTCCGAGGAAGACGTCAGTTCTATAGAACAAGGGTGCTTAGTGTGGGACTCCCTAGGGTCAGCCTGTTCCCAGGTCCCTCCACTCCCAGAGACAAGAGGCCAGAGTTGTGAATGGCTAGGACTGAGACAGAGACTAACTGGAGGGCGTGGGGGCTTTGGGGGCCGCTTCTTGGCCCGGTGCTTCCGGGGGTTGTACTTGGCCAGCTGGTACTCGTCAAACTGGGCGAATTTGTCCGTCATTGCAGCGCGCAGGCAGGCAGGCAGGGACAATGGCTTGCTCGCCTGTTCCTCCGACAGTCTCTGTGGGAAAGAGAGACCTTCGGCAGGGAGACGCAAACCAATCCACCGAGACCAAACAAGACTACTTCATGGAGCTATGTAAGCAGGATCAGGGAGCCGGCCCCTGGTCCCAACTTCACAATGACAATGTCTGTGGGCCTGAGCAAGCCGGTGGACTACTCAGATTCTCATTTTCCTCCCGGAAGACATGGGGTCCAGGAGACGATCCATTTTTCTCAAATGCCAGTCCAGCCTTGCTCCATCACATCCAGCCTGCTAGGTAGCACAGCCTGCATGGGGAAAACCTGTCTTGTCTGGGGTTAGCTGACGGGAAGGCTCCTGGTCTAGGAATTTTCTTCAGGGATGCATGGACCCAAGGCGGTAGAAGCAAGAGGGGCCCACTGTGGAAAACAGAAAGGTTTCTCCCCAGGTCATCACCTGCTTGCTAGCCGCATTGTGAGTTCAGCTGCTTAGAAGTGTCAGCCATCCAGAGCAATCAGACTAGTGCCTGATATGATAGTGATTGTTTTGCTGGAGAGCTCAGCAGGACATCAAGGTTAGGCTACCATCCACGCATCTAGGATCCGCCGACCTTGTCACATATGTACCCCTAATCCCTCCTCTTCTTATTGAGTGTACACCTCTAGATCATCCCCGTCCCGTTGCTGTATTGCCTATGATAGAACCCCTTTCTGTGACGTATGTGGTTACCTGTAATCAGGGGGCTTGCACGCCCCTAAGTATAGATAAGCCTTGGTTAAAAATAAATCCCCCTCCTTGTCCCTCTCCCTCTCAAGCCTCCTCCCCCTCTCTGCGAGGACCTGGCTGCTGAGATCATGACCATCTGGGAGGTGAGCATGTTACCATGAAATGTATCTGACTCCTTTATTTTACTCTCTCTCCTATTTTCTCTGACTTGGCTATGGCCTCTCTATATTATCGCCATACCATTGCTCCTACGAACCCCGTGATCTTGTCAGGGGCTGGTTTACCCTGAAAGGCCACACATCGAGAAAGGCTGGGGTATACCTGGTAGAAAGCAGCCACCTGGATCCAGTCCGAAGGCAGCTGGACAACAGCACAGAAATATCTTCGCAGGTGGGGGCGACAGGCTGGCAAGAAGGCGGCAATGGCCAACAGATGGTTGGCTGGATCCCGCATATTCAACTCCTGCCTGGTGTACAAAGCCGCCTAGGACACAGCGTAGGGAGAACAGACATCGCAGTCACACCTCCCCATAGGGCAGTGGTTCTCAACCTTCCTCAGGCCACAACCCTTTAATACAGTTCCTCATGTTGTGGTGACCCCCCCAACCATAAAATTATTTTCGTTGCTACTTCATAACTGTAATTAGGCTACAGTTCTGAATCATAATGTAAATATCTGATATGCAGGATGTATTTTCATTGTTACAAATTGAACATAATTAAAGCATAGTGATTAATCACAAATCAATGTGTCATGTATTGTGAAATATTTATTTCTTATGACAAATAAATGAAATTTTGTCTCGAAGCATGGTGTATCATGGGTAATAGTCTTCATGCCAGGGACTCATAGTGGGCATATCTGCATGTGGGTGGACCTGCCTAGAGACAGATAAAAAAATCAGTGTCTCAGTTCCTAAGACCATTGGAAATATGTGTTTTCCGATGGTCTTAGGTGACCCCTGTGAAAGGGTCATTTGACCCCCAGAGGAGTCTCGACCCACAGGTTGAGAACCATCCCCTGAATTTATTTGTTCACCTGAACTGCATGAAACATTTCCTGAGCCCTCAATGTTAGCTACACATGTGCCATGCATGTGCGCACACACACACAAACACACAAAACAAACCCAAAGCCCAGCATCCTTGGCTTGGCATTTGACGTGCTTCATAACCCAACACTTACCTACTTTTCTAGCATGTCTTCTCCTGAGCCCACCACCTGCCTCCCAAGTCAACCAAGCCCCCTCCTTCTTTGGAAATCACCTCCCACAGCCACCCTGACCAAAAAACTTGACATCAAAACACTGCTTAAATTTGTCATCTTCCCAAGTCTCCCAGGAAGCATTTCCCCCTCTCCTCGGCTTCTTGGACATCCACTACTCCACTGATGCCATGTGGATGAGACTTGGGAAGGTGCTTGACTTTCCCAACAACACGATAAACGACCTAAGAAACAGATCCAGGTTGCATAGGCCTTTGGTGTGTTCTTCCTGGCCTGGCATCAGTGTACATAACCTGTGTACAAGTGAACCTGAAGATCCTCTTTCTCAATCCCTCCTTGGCCCACTCTGTACAGAACCCCACGGACTGGGCCCCAGATTCACTCAGATCTTACTCCTGTCCTAGGTGAGATTCCTTTGACCCCCAGAGTGAGGTTCGTTGCCACCCTTTACACATACCTTAACCATATTCCCTATTTCCCAGTTCCCTAGCCCATCCCCTCCTTCACTCCGCAATACCTTGAGGATAAACTCAGGTTCCAAGGGGGCAAGTTTCCTACAGATCTCAAGGAGGGAAGTCTGGAAAGAGTTACTTCCTGTTTTCATGGTTCCATTCGACACCAGGCTACAGCACAGGAAACTTATTAGCAGCATCTAGGAATGAGGAGCGGCAGAGAAGAAGGAGAGAGGTAGTAAGAACCACCTTAAGCATTCAGGCAGGCCAACTGACCAAGTGAAGTACAGAGGAGACCCCAAATTTAGGAAGACCTTTGTCCAAGGTCAGAAAATGGTATCAGGAAGTGAGGAATCTAGCCGACCTCTAGTACACGAGTTATGACCTGTCCTTCCCCTTCCATCTGGGGAAGAGATGTTTCAGCTTTTTGTCACCACCCCTTCTATGCCTCTTTCTGTCCTCCCCACCACCCCCACCACCCACCAACCTCTCTCTGACTTTGGAACTTTTACCTTCTTCTCCTGAAGGGTCTGGTCTTTGGGCTCAAGAGGAAGTTTGGAGTCTTCAGATGAGAGCTTCAGGGCCAGCTCCTTCCTCTCGGCGTCCTCTCCCAAGCTTAGATGGTAAAAAGGCATTTGAGCCTCTTCTCCTTTTGCTGTTTCTGTCTTTTTCGCTTCTTCAGAAAGGGACCAATGACCCTAGGGACAGCAGTAGTTGTTAAGCACAGCCTGCACCCCCGCCCCCTCACGCAGACAGATCTGAAGCCAGAATAGGAAACGGGAAGAAGAGGGCACACCTAACTTGGATCACTTCAAACCCTCTCCCTTCACACCCGTGTGGAGCCTCCTGGCCCGCCCTGACACAATGCCCTCTCAGTCACACACACTACCTTCCTACTCAACCTTCCGTGCCCGACCCAAATGTTCCATCATTTTGCATATGCTTTCATCGTCTTAGCAATGCCATAGCCCCAGAGCCCAGGACCTAGGCTTCCCTTGGCTGCGTAAGCTCGATGAACCTCAGGTTCCTCATTCACTACCACCTACTTGATTGGGGGCATTGGGAAGTTACCGTAGATGGGATAACATATGGATGACTCTTTGAAAATTGCTAAGCTCTGAATAAATGTAAGATGGCAGTAGTTGTTAATTCTGACAATTCTGTAAGGTAAATGCTCACTAATCTTATGTCTAAGTCATAGAAATAAAGACTGCAAAAAGGATGAGTCTTGACCAAAGTTGTACAGTTTATCAAATAGAGAGCTCAGATTCTCCTGTTCCTTCAGCTCATACCATGAGCCAAATTAGAATGGATGTCTAAGGAACGGATCGCAATGATCGAAGTATAATCCCCACCCCACCCCCAGGGGGATGAACAACAGAAGCATGGGGGAAGGAGACACAAGATGGTGTAAGATATGAATATAACAATAATTTAGAATGTATGAAGGGTTTATGAGGGTGGGAGGGAAAAAAATAAGGAGCTGAGACCAAGGGCTCAAATAGAAAGAAAATGTTTTGAAAATGATGATGGCAACATATGTACAAATGTGCTTGATACGATTGATGTGTGGAATACTATGAGAGCTGGAAGAGCCCCCGATAAAATGATCTATTAAAAAAAACAGAATGGATGTCTGTTTGTTCACCAATTCTGACTTGCATACTGAATGTGGTTATGTAGGTGTGTACAACTGCATGCGTTTGCATATGCATATACAAGAGTGAGTGTGGATATAGCAGACAGAGCTCATGCCTGATGTAAGTTTCAAAAGCACCTGACTGACTTTGCTATAGCAATATCATGCTGGTTATCCTGAGCATAGGCCCTTTAAAGACAGGGCCTGTTTTTGCTCTATTCGCCAGAGTCTTAGGATTAGGCAGGCAACAAGAGTAATGATGCTGATGAAGACAACCCTAAGATAAAGGGCTCCTCAGGACAAAGCTCTGAGGAGATGAGATCCTAGCACAGAGAGAAAGTGAGACACTGAAATCTAGAGGCAAGAGTCAATACAAGGGCCTGACGCTATTACCAAAGTTGCTTCTGGAGTACTCTTTGTGGCAGAGGTAGATTCCGTGGTCCTGGAGAAGGTTAGAAGCTCTTGTCCTGAAGAGAGGCATTGATCCCTCCAGGGGAAAGACTCAGAGAAGAGTTTACTGTTGACATTCAAGCTACACAGATCAGTCCTCGCCAGGTGAGGTATCTGGAGATGCTGGAGCAAGGGGCTGGCAGACATAGTGCTCTGGAGACTCGGGAGGAGGGCCAGGCATCGGTTCTCCAAGGAAAGGGTGTCTGAATGGGCAGCCACAGGCCCAGAGCACTTCTCTCTGGTGTTCACATCAGGTAGTGTGGCCAAGCACCGGTTCTCCAAGGAGAGGATAGTTGGGTTGCCATAAAAATGCCCACGAAGTTTCTCCATGGTGGGAGCTCATGCAGCATATGCCTAGGAGAAAAGACAGACAGGTGATGAGAACCTAGCTACAACGAGTGTGAATGAGCACAGTTGTTCCCCCATATCGCGCCTGCTAATGTCAGTGACCTTCAGGCTGATTGCAACCAATGTGTTTCCTTTCCCAGGACTGAACTCACCTAGGGATTGTTTTTTGTTGTTTTTTTTTTGGTGGCCCGTATGGGGATCGAACCTAGGGACTATTCTTTTTTTTTTTTTGGTTTAGTTCGGAGGTTAATCCATTTTTATTTTTTTAAACATTTTATTAGGGGCTCATACAACTCTTATCGCAATCCATACACACATCAATTGTGTAAAGCGCATTTGTACATCATTTTCAAAACATTTTCTCTCCACTTAAACCCCCGACATTAGGTCCTCATTTTTCCCCTCTCTCCTCCCTCATGAGCCCTTGATAGTTTATAAATTGGTATTTTGTCATATCTTGCCCTGTCCGACATCTCCCTTCACCCACTTTTCGGTTGTCTGTCCCCCAGGGAGGAGGTCACACACAGTTCCTTGTAATCGGTTCCCTCTTTCCTACCCATTCTCCCTTTACCCTCCCTGTTTCGCCACTCACACCACTGGTCCTGTAGGGCTCATCCACCCTGGATTCCCTGGATTTTCATTTCCTATCTGTACCAGTGTACATCCTCTGGTCTAGCCAGACTTGCAAGGTCGAATTCGAGTCATGGTAGTGGGAGCGGGGAGGAAACATTTAGGAACTAGAGGAAAGTTGTATTTCTCATCATTGCTACATCGCACCCTGACTGGCTCATCTGCTCCCCGAGACCCCTCTGCAAGGGGATCTCCAGTGGCCTACTAATGGGCTTTGGGTCTCCACTCCGCACTCCCCCCATCCTTCACTATGGTAAGATTTTTTGTTCTGATGATGCCTTCTACCTGATCCCTAGGGACTATTCTAAGGGGGAAGCCCACCGCATCTAGTGGATTCTGACAGCAACCTCATATAGGGTTTCCTAGACTGTCCGTCTTCACTGAAGCATCGTCGCCTCTTTCTCCCAGAGTGGCGGTTGATTTTGAGATAACACCACCAGGGGGATGAGAGGGGAGGGGACAATTAGGCAGAAGGTTAATAGCAAGAAACTTCACAATAAGGAGGAGAAAGAAACAGATTGAGATGGGAAAGGAGCCGGAGCAGCAATGGGATGAAGAGAGAAGGGATGTGTCTTCTCATAAAGGGGTTCAAGGCATCCCCAGAACCACTGGTTTGATTCAAACATGGTAGAGGAGCCGAGGTTAGCATAAGGCCTCTGCATTTTTAGCTCCCAAGCAGCAAACATTGGATCAGATCGCCTGTATTCACATCAACGTCCTCATCTCCTGCCCACTTTTCTGTTCTTTTTCACACACTTTATTGTGAATTGGGTGAAGGTTTATGGATCTCATCCGTTTCCCATTCAGTCACTCATATACATTTTGTTTCTTGTCATTCTTGGATTGCAATCTCCACAATGTAAAATTTCTTATCCCACTTCCTCCCTGCACTGCCTGCTCCATTCTTTCTTCTTTCCTTATGCTCTTCTGAACTTTGTCCTTAGTCTACCTTTTTTCCCCACCTCAATGGTTGATTATTCTAAGGAGTGTATTTTTCCATAGTATTATTGTTCCTTTGTAGACTGGTCTGTTGTTTGGCTGAAAATTGAGCCAAAAGAGTGAGTTCATTTCTAGATCTCAAGGATAACTAAGGATCATAGTCTCAGGGCTCCTACCAGTCTCTCTAACCATTAAGCATTAGTCTTTTTAATGATTTTGAGTTTTGTTCCACATTTTTTCTCCTACTGTATCCAGGACCATCTAATGAGATTTTTCAGGGCAGGCGGTAGTGGTAGCTGGGCCCCTTCTAGTTCTGGCCTCAGGGTTGTAGAGGTTGGTTGTTTATGTGGTCAATTAGTCCATTGGATTAATTGCTTCCATATGACTTTGATTTTCTCCACTCTTCTTTCCTCAGACAGGGAGAGACCAAGAGCTGCACGGTAGACAGCCATTCACAAGCTTTTAAGACCCCAATTGCTACATATCATGATAAAATGTATGTGGTAGTTACATAATCTGGTGTCAATTTGAGACTATTAAGAGTGAAGGGGTGGAGTTTAGCCTGTCAATCATGTTGCAGCTTGATGACCTCATGTGGAGGCACTACAGAGATAAAATAGCTCACTGGAAGCCATACACACTCTCTCTGCTTTGTCTTCCTGTTGAGAAGACACATGGGCCTAGACTGATGGACCAGAGCCCTGGAGGTGGAGGAGCCATGTGGAGACCCACACTAGCACTGAGATGCTTCCACCGCCACTGGTTCCACAAGACCTCCACTGCCACTGGTTCCACAATCTTCTTGCATTCAGCATCGTTGCATGTGTTGCATGAATCTGAGGAGAAATTTATAGACTGGTATTGGACATATAGGCTAATATTGGACTTATGGACTTGATCTGGACTGGGCTGGGATGTTTTCTTAATATACAATTACTCTTTGATATAAAACTCTCTCTTGTACACATATGAATGTCTATGAATTTGTTTCGCTAGTCAACCCAAACTAACACAATGCAGAACATTGCCTTTGTGAATTGTGATCGTTAGAGTCATGTGTCAACTCAGCTGGGCCAGGATTCTGTGGTTTGGCATTTAAGATATAGTAGTCATCTCCCCTAATGGAATCTGATATGATGTAATCACTACCATGAAGGGATCTGCTATGTTGTTGTTTTTGTTAGGTGCTATCAAATTAGTTCCAGCCCATAGTGACCTATGCACAACAGAATGAAGCACTGCCCACTTCTTCTGCACAATTTCACAATTGTCCCTGCGATTGAGACCATTGTTGAAGCCACTATTTCAATCCATCTCATGGGGCGCCTTCCTTTTTTTATTTTTTATTTGCTACCAAGCATGATGTCCTTCTCTAGGGACTGGTCTCTCCTGACAGCATGTCCAAAGTATATAAGACAAAGTCTCACATAAGAAGCATTCTGGCTGTACTACTAAGACAGATTTGTTTGACCTTTTGGCAGTCCATGGGACTTTTAATATTCTTCTCTATTACCCTAATTCAAATGCAGAGATTCTTCAGGGTTTTTAAAATTATTATTATTCAATGTCTAACTTTGACATGCATAAGAAGCAAGTGAAAATATCATGGCTTGAGTCAGGCACACCTTAGTCCTCAAAGTAACATCCCTACTTTTCAATCCTCTAAAGAGGTCTTGCGCAGCAGATTTACCTAATGCACCGTGTCATTTGATATCTTGACTGCTGCTTCCATGAACCTTGATTGTGGATCCAAGCAAGACAAAATCCTTGACAACGTCAACCCTTACTCCATTTATCATGATGTTACTTATTGACCCAGTGGTGAGGATTTGGGTCTTCTTTACATTGAGTCATAATCCATACTGAAGGCTGCAGCCCTTGATCTATATCAGAAAGTGCATAGCACGTATTTCCTTTTCGGTTTTCTCACTCTAGGCCTTTGCACATTTCATGCTAACACTTTATCTTCTTGAGCTGCCCTAGAACATTTTCTGTTCAGGTCTCCGACTTCATCACTTCTTCCGTTTGCCTTAGCAACTGAACAATTAGGAACAAGTTTCAGAGTCTCTCTGACATCACTTGGATCTTTCCTTTCTGTCTTGTATTTTTAATGACCTTTTCCTTTCTTCATGAATTCTTCTTTTTTCTTTTTTTAATAACAGATCATTTTATTGGGGACTCTTATGGCTCTTATAATAATCCATACATCATATCAAGCATAGTTGTGGATACGTTGCCATCATTATTTTTAAGCATTTAATTTCTATTGAGCCCTTGGTAACAGCTCCTCTTTTTCGCCCCCCACCCCACCCCCCTGACCTCTTGTGTAAATGATAAATTATTATTTTCATATCTTACACAACTGCTGTCTCCCTTCCCTCGTGGTTTCTGTGGTTCATCCCTCCCCCTGGGATGTGGGGCGTGGTGATGTGTCGATTATTGTAATTGGTTCCCTCTTCCACCACTCCTCTCCCCACCTTTCTCTTCCCCTCCTGGTATAGCTACTCCATTCCTGTTCCTGGATTCCATGTGTCATGAGCTCTTATCTCTTATCTGTACCTGTGCACATGCTTTGGTCTAGCCCACAGTGAAAGACAGGATTGGGGTTATGATAATGGGCGGGGGGGTGGTGGCTGAGGAAGCCTCAAGGAACCACAGGAATATTCTGTTTCATCAGTGCTATACTGTGCCCTGGTTGACTTATTCCTTCTTTGTGACCCTTCTATGAGGGGTGTACTATTGTCTACAGATGGGTGCTCGGTCTCTGCTCCAACACTCCTCATTCTCAACAATGTGGGGTTTTTTTATTTGTTTTTGTTTGTTTTGGGTCTTCTGATGCGTTATCCAATCCCTTTGACACCTCATGATCACACAGGCTGGTGTGCTTCTTCCATGGGGTCTTGTTGCTTCTCTGCTAGATGGCCGCTTGTTTAACTTCAAGCCTTTCAGACCCACTATATCTTTGGATAGCCGGGCACCATGAGCTTTATTTACCACATTTGCTTATGCACCCATTTTGTCTTTGGCAATTGTGTCAGGAGGGTGAGCATCACAGAATGCCAGGCTGTTAGAACACAGTGTTCTTGCACTGAGAGAGGGCATAAGCAGAGACCCATGCATGATAGTCTTGATGTCCTCCCACAACTCATCCGGTCTTCTGTTGTTAGTGTTCACTGCAGTAAATCTAATGCTGAGATGTTCTTGAAATTCAGGTGGGATATACTCAAGGTCATATTTTGTCTCTTATGGACTTATTTTAACTTTCTTCAACTTTATCCTGAACATATGTATGAGCAATTGGTGGTATGTTTCACATTCAGCCTTGACCTAATTTTAGCTGCTGATAGTGAGCTTCTCCACAAATATAGTCTCCACAGACTGTCTCTTCCCACAGAGGTAGTCAGTTTGATTTCTGTGTACTCCATCTGGACAGTCCATGTGTACAGTCACCGTTTGTGTTGTTTAAAAGAGGTATTTGCTACTGAATAAGTCCTTGGCCTTGAAAAATTCTATCAAGTGATATCCACCTTCATTTCTATCACCAAGACCGTATTTTCCAGTGACTGTTCCTTCCTATTTGTTTCCAGCTTTTGCATTACAATCACCAAGAATCATCAATGTTGATCAATTTCCAACCAAAGATGTTGATAGAATTCTTCAATTTCTTTATCACTAGCTTTGGTAGTTGGTGCATACATTTGAATAATAGTGTATTGATTGGATTTCCTCAAAGGCAGGCAGATATAATCCTATCACATTGCACTGTACTTCAGGACAGCATTGTACTTTAGGACAGATCCAGAAATATTCTTTTTTTGACAGTGAATTTCAACAATGCTATTACTCTTTTTTTTTTCTTGATACAATTGATGGATTATTGTAAGAGCTGTAAGAGCCCCAATAAAATGAACTTTTAATTTTAAAAAATCTTGCTATATGTATGTGTGTGTGTATGTGTATATCTATTTACCACAATTGTTTTTAATCATGAGTTCAAAAATAAAATGATGGAGGGTCTGGGGAGTGCCTGCCCCTAACTCTGCCACCAAGCAGTGGCCGGAGGCGGGGAGACCCTCCAAGTCCCCCCCCAACCCGGGGCTGCAAGAGGAGGATGTGAGTGGCCAGTCACTGGACCTGCGGCAGCCATCCAGCCATTCCTGCTCATGTCTAGGCTTTGCATGTGGAGGCCCTGGGTGTGCAAGTGGTCACGCCTGGTGGCTACTAAGCACAAGTTGGCCCACGGAATGCTGGCGGAGAGGCCTCCAAGACTGCCATGATCTCAGCGGCCAGGTCCACGCAGAGAGAGCCTACAATGCTATTACGCTTGATAGTGCCATTCCTGACATAGTAAACCAGATGATTTCCTGTGAAATGTCCAATAGCAGTCCATTTCACCTCACTGGTGACTAAGATCTTGATCTTTATGGGCTCATTTTATTTTTGGTGACTTCCAATTTTCTGAGATTCATACTTTTGTACATTCCAAGTTCTGATGATTAGCAGATTTTTGAAGCTGTTTTTTCTCACTGTGAGTTGTGCCCATTGGCAAATGAAGATCTGGAAGGCTTTATTTCCACATGCTTTATTCCATTCATGTCACCACGGTCGACTTTACTTTGAGCAGGTATCTCCTCTTCAGTCATATTTGCAGTGATTTCTGACCCCAGGGCTCCTTCCTGTGGCACGATCTCTATGTTCGTTTCCATTCATTAGGCCTTTAGTTTTGACAATGCTTTCATTCTATGCCTAAGGTCTTCAGTGGCTAATCCCTCTGAAGCGAGCAGTCCATTCCTTTTTCATTTTTAGTCTGGAAGCGCCACTGAAACCTGTTTACTTCAGGTGACCCTGATGACATTTGAAAGACCAGGGATAGAGCTTCCAGCATCACAGCAACACACAAGTCACCACAGTAAGACAAACCGACAGACAAATGGTAGAAATCTTCTATGAGCAGCCAATTAATTGAAAGGTACTTTCCTCAAAGTTGTTTCCTGCTTCCAATACATGTGGATGCTCTGGCAAAGCTTGCTTGCTTTTTGCTGGATGTGGCTCCTGCATCTGGCTTGTCTTCTGATCTCAGGCGCTTTGGAATTGAGACAGCAGCATGCTGTACTGCCTGCTGCTTCCATGAGATATCAGCATTTTGCCATTTCACCAGCCAGTCTCAGACTCATTTGCCTCTGCAGTCGGCACCCTGCAATCTGACCAGCTGGTCTTGATTTCATTAGACCCTGCAGCTATGTGAGTCCGGAGCTCTCACTAGTCTAACATATGGCTCATGGGCTTGGAAGTTCCTAGCCCCTAAAATGATTTAAGCGTTTTCCTTAAGAAATATCTCTGTTTATAAACCTACGTGAGCTTCACTGATTTTGTTCTCTAGAGAACCCGGCCTAAGACATGGACTTTGTTATATGAACTTTAGTGTTCCCAAGACTGTGGTCCTCAGTCTGCAGGCCCAGCACCTCATTCCCTCAAACTGTTTGGTTATAACTAAGAAGTTTCCGTTACCTTATCCCCTGGATGCTCCACCAAATTCATGGATTTATTTACAGCATAAGTAAATACACATTCTCCTACTCCTGTTTCCAGCCAACTAATTGGGGATTCTGTCTCCACTATTCTATCAAGAATTTAACATTATCCTGTTTTTTCCCTTTATTATGGTTTTTTAAATGTTGTGTTTGTCTACTTGTCCCGTTTCTTCTTACTAAAATAAAACTCTCTGAGGACAGAGATCCCCTGCCATGGTCACCTCCATCCTCAGTATCACACATGACCTGGCTTCTAATCACCTTCCAGCCCCATATTTTACATCTCATCTAACTGTAAGTGCTCTACATTTCCACCACACAAACCTCTTGTTAGTTCACGGATCACTAAGATATCTATAGACTCTGGATCTTTACACAGGCAGATGCCTGGAACCTGCTTCCTTCTCCAACACCGCTCTGGCCTCGCCTTTGTTAAGTGCCATTGAGTAGGGTTAGAGTCATAGTGACCCTTTGTTAAAGGGTCAAAACGCTGCCCAGTTTTATATTTACATTCCAGATCTTTTCTATGCATGTTAACTTATAGGCATATGCCCTTCTTCTTTGCTGCAAATAGAACCATTCGATTCTGCACTTGTTGGGTTTTTGAGACCTTGCTATTGAACACTCACCCCAGTCTTTTAAGAGGCTGTGTGACAGACCCTCCTATTTAAGTACAGCCTGGGTTTCTGTTATTACAAACGGTGCTCATCCTAGCTGGGAGCAGTTGCTCTCCCAGGCCAAGGAGCACATCCAGCAAGGAAGTTTGGGCCTCTCTCTCTTCTTTCTCCTCTTGTGACTATCCCATGCTTCCCTACCCTCATCTTTCTCCCGGCCCACTCTCCACTCTCCTCTCTTACTTTCTCTTTCACATTCCTCACCCTTCCCGAAGCTCCAAAGAGGACAGACAGAGGCCCGCCCCGTCACACCCGATCTGCAGGTTAACTAGCTGGTCAAGGGCAGGCCCTTCTCACCCTGACGCCTTAGTGAGCCCAGCACCCGAGGGCCCCGGGACGGGGCAAGTTTGTACCTGAGCGTCCCAATGCGACTAGGGAGTAGAGAAGCAGGATTCCCACGTGGGACGCCTCGATGCTGCACCGCGGGAGGCAGAAGCCGGGCTCTGGGCTCGGCCAGCTGGAAGCGTGGAGTCGGAGGAGAAGCTCCGGAGGCCGGGCGCTGGGAGAGCCCTGGACCGGGACGCGCTCGGCTGGGCGCGGCGGAAGCTGCTCGGGAAGAGGGCCGCCTCGGGCGGGGCGGGGCGCCGCGCTCCTGCGTGACGTGACCGCCGAGCGCGGGGGCTGGACCGCGCTCTGCTCGTGCGTGGAGGGTGCCCGCCGGCAGCCTCTTCTGTGGTCCCGTGGTTGTTTACTTTTACTGGGGTGAAAAGACACTGCAAAGCACGCACCCATTCAACGCTTTCAACACGGATCACTTCGCGTGCCTTCCATCCCTTGCTTTTCATGTGTGCACCCATTCTCACTTGCCCTTTCTAATTATTCCACTTTTATTAACCTAAACTCACTGCCCACCCTCTCCCCCCGCCAAGGAAAAACCCCTTTCCCTTTCCCTCCCATCCATGCCAACTCATAGCGAAGCAACAGGACAGAGTGGAACTCCTTCTGTAAGCAGATATTCACTATCCTGGGAATCATCGTGTGGAGACAGGTCTACTCTGGCTAGGAATCGACTCGACAGGTTTATTTTTTGTTTGATGTCTTCTCCATACACTCAGCCAGATCCCACCTCCCTTCTTCAGGAAAATTTCCCTCCCCACCCACCGCATCAATCTCAGCATCTCCTTGTTCATAATAAATATTTATGCCCGCTTTTACTACCCCAGGGGCCCTGGTGGTATAGTAGCTATGCATTGGGCTGCAGTCTGCACAGTCGGCAGTTCGAAGCCACCTACAGCCCCACCAAAGACGGGGCTTTCTACTCCTGTAAACAGTTACAGTTTCGAAAACCCACAGGGAGGGTCGCTGTGAGTTAGCACTGAGTTTAGCACTGAGTTTGGCGGTGAGTTTGGTTTGGGGCGGTTTATAACCGTGAAATACAATGAATAATAGGGCGGCCCTACAAGGCATGGTGGCTGCTGGCTGTCTCCCCTGACACTGTCAGAAGGGGAGTCAGCGGCTCCAGGAGTGAAAGGGCCCAGCAAGGCAGGGTCCTCATGAGGACTGGTATCACCTGGTGCAGTTATAGCCACCACTGATGCCCAACCCAGTCACCCGCCAGCCTGGGTGCTGACGGCAGACGGGCTCTTGACCTCTGCAGGGCTGCAGAAGACGTGGCCAGGAAGGGCGGGGCTCTGCGGCCAGGTGCTCGACTCTAGTGAGTGGGGGCGGGTCCGGGCTCCTCCCACTACGCCAAATTAGCCGGCTCCGGCGCTCCTTCGGTGATACTAATCCTACCGAAATAAGTGCGTGCGTGCGTGCATGCATGTGTGTGTGTGTGTGTGTGTACCTAAGCGTTGGACCGCTCACAACGTCGGCAGTTCAATCCTACCAACCTCTCTGTGAAAGAACCCGAGGCTGTCTGCTCCCTTAAAGATTTACAACCCGGGAAACTCTAGGGCAGTCGGGCAGTTTTACCCTGTCCTATAGGGTCGTTATGAATAGGTAGCAGTGAAATTAGTACGGATAGACTGTATAGCAGTGTGTGTGCCTGTGTTTGATAATTATGAGCCATGATTTTGTGATTTGACTTGAAGTTAAGCTTGTAATGCTTGACCCATTTAAATGTCCTTGCAGTTTAAAAAAAAAGTGAAACACGTGTATTAAACCTCAGGTGAATTCCCTCTGACCATAGACCAAGGATGTGAATAGCCCTGCGGATCATGGCAAATGTAGTTAGGTTAAAATTGAACACTTTTAACATTTGATTTCCCTATTGACCCATTTTAAAGTCGTTCTACTTTTTAAATATTTTCTTCTTTCTTTTCGACTGAGGTTTTTCTCTATTTTATTTTGTGTTTGTTAGTTCTTTTCTTTTTGTATTTTTCGGGGGTATATGAAATCCAGGATAGGCGGATCTTTAGAAACAGCGACTGATTAATGGCTTACAGGGGGTGTGGCAGGGGAGGATGGGGAAATTGGAACCTAATAACAAGAAGTACAAGAAAGAGGAAAATATTCTAAAACTGATTGTACAACTCTTCTTGATATGATTGAACGATTGAAATTTATATGTGGGTTATGTCCCAATAAAACTTTTTTTTTAAGAAAGAATAAAAAAGTGAGGAGAGAAAAATAGATGAATTCTGACTTGTGATTCAGTTGCAGAAATGTTTACCTTTGGAGGCATCCATCTCTAGTTACATGGGTTGTTTAGATCTCCTCCCATGCCGCCCCCCAAACAAGCCTATAGTCATGAGTTGATTTTCACTCATCGGGTTTCCAAGGCTGTGTATCTAATTTTTAAAATCATTTTATTGGGAGCTCTTACAGATTCTGTAGTTCAATCACATCAAGCAGTGTTGCACAATTGCTACCACAATCAATTTCGAGACATTTTCTTTCTTCTTGAATCCTTGATAACAGCTCCCTTTATCCCCTCCCTCCCCTACCCAGAGCTGTGTACCAGAGTAGAAAGCCCCGTTTTTTCTCCACCTCCAGAGCAACCGGTAGGTTTGAACTGCTGACCTTTCCATTAGTAGTCCAAAGCTTCCAAAACTCCAAGCTCACGGCCATTGAGTCTATGCAGACTCGTAGCGACCCTATAGGGCTGGCCATAATCAGGTCTGTGAGTTTTCAAGACTGTAAGGAAGTCCAGTTTTTCTCCTGGAGCCAAGTGGCTGGTGGTTTCAAACTGCTGAGCTTGCAGTTGGCAGACCAACACTTAACCACAAGGGCTCCTTAGGCCAATGCTTAGAACTACGGAAATCACGGACTATTTGCCCTAACCTACCTGTCTCTGTCTGTAGGATTTCTTGCCCCAAATTGTTTCTTATTCCCAAGGAGCATTCAGTTAGATGACACTTGGCTCTCTCAAACCTTGTCACCTTCAGGTGAGCACGGTGGCCAGGGTGGACCCTGCTTTTCCTGTCCAGGAAGCACCTCAGTTATAGGAGCACAACATTTCGTGCTAAGGTGTGCCATCTAAGGTTTAGCATTTCCTTTTAGAATTTCTCAGGGCTGTAGACAAGCCGTAAAGAAGTTGCACATAGAGGATTCCAGACGACCCCTCAGGAATAGGGCGGTGCTACAAGGATGGATGTCCCTAGGGCTAAAGGGTGGTCCAGGACCGGGAGGAAGAGGGACCTGGGCGAGGTTTGCAGCCCAGTCACAGGTGATTGAATCAGGGTGAGTCACCAAGGAGACATCGGCTCCCAAGTTCAGCGGCCATTGGCTGGGGATCCCTGGGCTGGAGATATAAAGCCAAAGCCAAGTGACCTGTGTACTGACTGGTTCACTGGACCCCAACAACTGCCCTGCAGCTGAGCACAGCAGATCCAAGGCAGCGGACACACGCGGGCTCATCCCGAGGGCATCGGCGCGACCATGGACAAGGAGTGAGTTGGGAAACAGGCCTGTGGGGTCCCCAGGTCCCTGGGGAGAGGAAATGCCTGTCCCAGACCCGGGAGCCGGCACTCTGGTGCTTAAGGGCCCGAACGAGGGAGCGAGTGCCAGGGAGATACAGAGAGGTCTGGCCAGGAGCCCAGTGTGTGGGACAAGGCGGCCGAGCGGCATGGCAGCCCCCGCGAGAAGGGTGCGCACAAGAACCGGGGTGCCGGGGTGCCGCCACCAGAGCAGGAAGGGGGCACGTTAGTGCGGTGGGGGCTACTCGTAAAAAAGTGGCGAGGGAGACTGACCCGCTGGTCCCGCACTCCACACACTGGGAAGAGATCTGCAGATCCCATCACAGATTCTAATCTGAGTCTAGGCAAAGCCGTGATGGGATCTTGATGCTTCGATGTTCCCTGTCAGAGGTTTACCAGCGGTTTCCTCGCTGCCCCTCTGCACCTCGCCTGCCCGCTCCCATCTTCTCTTCTCTTCGCTCTTTATCTTTCACGGAAGTCCAAAGACAGGTAGCGCTAACGACCTACACGTTATCCAGAACCCCTACACAAGCGAAACCCAGAACTTTCCTCACAATTCCTAATCCCATTAGAAGGGGGAGAGATGATGGAACTCAGGTGTGACCGGGCTGAACACAGGGAACCAAGTCTTTAGAGGGGAAAAAACAACAACACATTTTTTTTTCTTTTTTCAAAAGGAGAGCCCCAGAAATCATATATGCATCTATTGTACAGGTTATCTGCAGGAAAGCAGCTGGGTAAACAGAGTTGCAGTCACCTGACAGAGAAGCGAGGAAGGTTTAGGAGAGGACCAAGAGGGGGCATTCTAATATCAAAGCACCGCCCCCCCAAGAACTCAAACCTGCCTGCCATCCAGGGATTCTGACTCAGTGACCTTGCAGGACACAGTAGAACTGCCCCTACTGAAGTAGAAAGCGCCCCCCTACCCCCCACCCTGCAAAGCGGCTGGTGGTTTCAAACTGCTTGATTATCTGCCTAATGCTTAATCCACTATACTTCCATACTTCCAAGGCTCCAATCCTCCAGAAGTGAAAGTCTTGTGAGGTTGTGCCCTCCACACCCCCCCACCACTCCCCGCTAATAAATAGAAAGTCCTATAATCCAGCAGGTCAAAGGTCTTTCAGATGAGCAATCCTTCAAGTGCACTTGGGTCCTGAGCACCTGAAAGTCGCTGACATCTCCAGGGCTGGGAATTGCAGGCAAAGCAGAGAGGGGTTTCTGAAATGTGGAGCGAGGCGGCCAGTCTTTTCTCTGATGGCCAGTCTTTTCTCTGGGGCAGTGTGTGCTAGAGCCAGGGAGGTCTGGAGCTCCATCCAGCGCTTTTGATGGTAAGTCATCTTCAAACAGAGACTCTACGGTGTTGTTCATTGTTCAGCTTCCACTCATCAGGATGCTAAATACAGCAGTAGGACACACTGTCTGGTCCTTGCCATCCTTACATCCTTTCCATTGTATTAACGTGCCATGGCAGGGACTGTGTCGATCCATCCTGTTGAGGACTGTCTTTTTTTTCCCCTTACCCTGTGCGTTACCAAGCACAATGTCCTTCTCCAGGAACGGGTCCCTCCTAATAATACGTCCAAAAGACCTGGAACAAAGTCTCACCATCCTTGCTGCTCAGGAACATTGTGGTCGTTCTTCTCTAAGATGAAATGTCCTTTCTTTTGGCAGTCTATACTATATTCCGTATTGTATCCCAGCACCATCATTCAAATACATCCTTGCTTCAGTCTTCCTCATGCAATGCCCAGCATATTTCGTATGCATATTAGGCCACTGAAATGACCACAGCTGGGGTCAAGCACATCTTCGTCCTCAAAGTGACCTCTTTGCTCTTTAACACTTTAAAGAGGTCTTTGCAGCAGACTTGCACAAGGCACCGTTGCTGGATTTGACTGCTGCTTTCATGGAGTCTGGGGAAATGAAATCCTTGGCAATGTCTGTCTTTTCTCTGATTCGTGTGACGCTATTTGTGGTCCAATTGCGAGAATTTGTATTTTCCTTATGTTGGAGTGTAATCTGTATTGCAGACTTTAGTCTTTGATCTTCATTAGGAAGTACTTCTAGTGGGGGAGGGAGGGGAAAATGAGGAGCTGATACCAAGGGCTCAAGTAGAAAGAAAATGTTCTGAAAATGATGATGGTAAGCAATGTACAAATGGGCTTGACACAATGTATGCATGTATGTATTGTGATAAGAGCTGTCTGAGCCCCCAATAAAATAATTAGATTTTTTTAAAAAAGGAAGGACTTCTAGTACTGTTCACTTTCAGCAAACAGGGCAGTCATCTGCATACTGAAGGTTGTTCATAAGGCTTCCTGCAACCCTGATGCCTCATTCTTTCATAATTCAGCTTCTTAGATTGTTTGCTCAGGATATAGATTGGATATGAATATGTTAAAATGATGTAATGTGGATGCACACCTTTCCTGACTTCAACCACTCACTATCCCCTTGTTCAGTTGAAATGACTACCCCGGGTCTGTGCATAGGTTCAGCATAGGCACAGTTGGGTCCCAAATTTTTCATTTGTCATAAAGTTATTCATAATTTGTATGATTCACACGGTTGAATGTTTTTGTACAGTTGATAAAACACAAGTAAACATCTTTCTAGTACCCTCTGCTTTCAGCCAAGATTTACCTGACTTTCATAATGAAATCCCTCTCCCGGTGGCCTCTTCTGAATCCAGCTTGAATTTCAGGTTAGTTCCCCATGAATGTTT